AAAAAAGAGGAAAATAAGAAGAGACAAAAACGAACACCGAAGTAAAGAGAAAAAAAGAAAAAGGACTACTGGATTCTTGACCTTGTTTTCTTATCTTCTACGCAATCTACGTAATTCAGCTGGACCCCTTGTTGCCTACGGATATACCTAAATATACCATCGGACAACTTTGGAACAAAGTCGAGTGACGAGAAATCTGCGCTGTCATTTGGCCTACTGCTAGTCTTGCACAGATCGTTACCAGCGCAAAATCACCTCTTTTCACTTTTAACCTATCTTTTTTATTATCACATTTTCCCTCTTCTTCTATTCTTGATTTGCCCTCGCCTGGTTGCGATGCGATGCCTCGATTGAGAGCTTTGCCGTACGCCCACACCCGGCTGGTTTGAAATGGGACGGTGATTTGATACACAAGGGGGCGGTGGAAGAAAGTGGCATTTGGAGTTTGAAGAGGGGAGAACAAGTTGCCACGATTTGTATACTAGTAGCTTAATCTGCTATATAGGTATGATAAAACAGCTTAGCTGCCGTTGTAAACGAGATGTTGCGGTGTGTAAAGGAAGCTGGCTAGAAACATCTAGGCCTTTTAGTCGAGCAGCCGGTGATGTGTCCCTTGCAGAACAGAATCTTGACGGTGCTCAGCCATTGGCGACAAAGGTTTCTAGTTGTCAGGCTGAAATACTATATCCGTGTATCGATGTGGCTAGCTGAGGCAGCGTGCATGCATATGTCTACTTGTGTACAAAACCGGCTGGCAGCGGCCCTGGAGGAGGATATATCTAAACCGCGATTGGCTTTATACTACGCGCACACATCAAGCGAGGGAATAGGAGGATGCATACAAGTGGAGATGAGCGTGGTCATACTGCGTACTATAAGCTATCGGCCCTGCAATGAGCGATGGGCGATGGCTTCTGGAGACTGGAGAGGCGTCCAATCGGATGGAGCTCGGAGGAGAAGCCGGGTGGACTATTGCTGCGTTTCATTTTGAGCGGATGTGCTTCCCCGTTGCTAGGCAAATCCTTCGGGTTGCTAGTTGTTGAAGGGCTGGTTTAATCATATATATAAGTGCCTAGTGGTTAGTAATATTGATATATATGCAGACCTTGATGGAGATGTGTATGTATGAGGACGGGTGACACGCGCCAGCTAGATACCTCTTATACAACATAGTTTGATGTTACTCTTACGCATAGTAGGGGAGTGCAATGGCTGTGCGACTGCGTATTCATTTGCCTTTGGATGATGAAACCTGCTAATGGCGTGTGGCCACTGGCGCCGGCCGAGGGAGGCATCTTCAGCTGGACAGGGACCGGGGGTCGTCGATACAAGTGCCGAGATTCTCTTGCTTCTTGAGAATAAGTTACTCGTCATTTTTTGGTGTCTTTGCAGTTGCGGTGAGAGCTCTCTTTCTTGCCTATTGAAATGTGAAGATGTGAAAAATGTCTTTGATACAGTATATCCCTTGGATATGGCGGAGAGAGAGCTAAGCTCCAGTCATAATGCGCTATCACATATTGATCCCGTGTACTGCGTTTGAGCGGGATGACATTGTTATATGCCAGGATATGTTGCGCTGGACAACGGGTACACAATGCTGGGCCGCAAGAGCCACCTTTTTTTTTAATACAGAGGCTCAAGATTTGGGGGGTGCAATGTCTCGGGCTTTAAGAGCTGAACGGCGACCTGGATCTTGGCATGCGTCGCCAGCATGCGAAATGGGTGATTCAGCTCTGTGGAGGAGCGCGTGTCCTACCCGCCACTTTATTCCGCCCTCTTCGTCTTCTGCCGCTATTGGGCTGAGATTCCTTAACCCCCGTGCCTTTTGGAGTAGTTATTTGCTGTAGTTGAACAGCCATTCATGTACAGAGGGGGGCAGTTGAATAAGGCGTCTTGTCGGCCCCTTGCGCATATAAAAGTACGTGGCTGCTGCAGTATCATGCAATGTAAATCTGCACGCAGCCAGAGCCAGACAAGGTTGCGAGTGTCACAAAACGAGCAGGGTGCTGTGCTGCCAGGCTCTCTACATCTTCGTCGTTTCGTCTTCTGTGTGCACCATCACGACAATGGCCGGCCGCAGAATCTCGCGGGCCTGAGTCTGGGTGGCCGCAGAATCTGGCCGCAGTAGGTCGGGTTGCATGTGACTTGCCTATGCCTGTGCCTGTGCCTGTGCCTGTGCTCGTGCTCTTTGAAGGATTGAGTTTTCTTCTTTGCTTTTTCCGCACCCCTGCTGTGTGGCTGCAACAGTGTGGGCTTTTCTTTTCTTTTTATGCAGCCGGCGTACAAGTAGATGATGCTCGGTGCTCTATTCAGGCATGCTCCCGGCGGACGGGCGGGAGAGAAAGAGGGCAGGCAAGACATGCAGCGGCCTGTCAGCGGTTGGTGCGGATAAAGGCGTCTGGTGTATGCGTTGGGTTTGAGAGGAGGCGAGTCCCGTAGCTGCTGCACAGATCACTGCAGTAGCAGTAGTTGAGTTGCTACGACGGAAGCCGTGCATATAGACACCATTGCTCTTATACGAGTAGAACTGTATGTCAGGATAGAAGGTAGTGGCAGTAATGGCTGTAGTCGCTAAGAGTAAGCTGCAGCCTCAGGCGGAAATGGCCAAGCGTTGCTGCTGACCTGCCTCGTCAATCAACCGCCAGAAACATCCTCTTGCATCTCTTGCATCCTTGTCCAAACTCAGGCTCGTGCAGCCAGCAAGGCAGGCAATAACTGCCAAATGCAGGCCAGCAAACGCTGCGTACGGCTAAGGGTATGACAGAAGCCCCGTTCTAGAGGGCAAGTTGGATCCTGGCCCCGTCAGAATCACGCGAGGGCCCTGTCAGTTCATCCATCGTCCGCTAATCTGTTGGTCGATCTACCGCTCACCACCTCGCAGACCTCGCAGCTGTGTACAAGTAGACGTATGGAGCGCATATCGCATCGTATCGAATCGGCAATATAACATACTTTTGCACAGAGGCATGGTGGCGCCGAGCCTCCCCTCTCGTCCCGCCCATCCGCCCGCCTTGGAGGGCTACACCACAAGAACGAAGAGGGAGCCACCATGGCTGGCCAGCATTCCCTCTCTTGATTTGATTTTTCGTCGCTTCTACTCGTAAACGGCCATAGCCCGGAAGGAATCCAATGGCCATCTTGGCGGCTGCAGCATGGTCCCACTTGCTGCACGTCTGCTTTCCGCCCTCTGATCCCTTTGCAGAGTGCGGAACAGGCCTCGCTCTCGCGACTCGTGACAGCTGCAGCAATCGATAATGCATCAGTTTTTTTGCCTGTTTGGGGGCCCAGCTATGACATCCCGTGCCAAAACTAGCAGTCTCTCGGCGTCTCAGGTCTCAGGTCTCAGATCCAAGTGGCGAGCGCACAAGTGTGGCTCTCGAGCCGTGTCTGTCGTCGTGGTACGGGACAGGACGAGCCTCGGGTAGTGGTACCCTTATGTGGCTGCAGCATCATCATACCATCAGCTCCGAATATGGCCAGAGATACATGGATGGTCAGCAATCTGTTCTGCAGTGGCCAAGTAGAAGTTTGTACATATGACTGCTTCAGACATACATACATTTGGCGTGTGCATACTTGTACAAACTAACAGAGAGGCTAGGTCTTGCATGCATGCAAGACACGCACCCCCTATGCCCTCTACAGGCCCTCTCTAAAAAGGGAAGACGAGATCGATCTCCTTCTATGGATGCTTGGACGTCCAGATCGCGCACGGGCTGGCTTTCAAGGCCGGCAAGGCCCCTTGTGAGCGAGTCGGTCAGTCGCCTAATGGACGCCGACACTGTCTTGTATTGCATGCAAACAGCAAGACTCCCTCTTGAATGAGTTGAACGAGTCCCTCCTGAATGATCCTCTCCCTACCGTCTGTTCCGATACCTTTTGATAACTCTAGCCGACGCAGCTTGGCCTGCCCCGGGTTCAAACATGGAAGCTAGAAGCCCGGGGCCCATAATTCTCTGGTGGGCTCAAGACTAGACAGACGCTGCGCGAAAGGCCGAATATGATAGGTGACAAAGAGGTTGCTGCATCCATCCTCAGCCGTTGTGCGGTGCGACGTATGCAGGCAGGCATTTTAATTGTGCCTGTTGTCACTTTCTGCTCTCGAGGTACACGGGAGGGCTGCCTTTGTAGCAGCCATAGTAGGTACCTCCCTACTCGTAATGGGCTCTTCTCAGCCATGCAAAGATTCGACGGGGCGTTTTCACAAGTATACAAGTATACATGTATGCGCACATCGATCCATTCTTGACTTGATGCTGTTGGTTGCCATGTCTTCACCACTCTTCCGCACCGAAACTTTGTTTCCGCACACAAGTCAAATTATTTGCTCATCTGCCCCCTTCTTTTTTCATTCTCCTCATTTGCTCCTTTTGTGTTCTCTTTGTTGTCAACGAGGGCATGATCAATTAATATTGCTCTTCTCGCCATTCCTCGCACATCACATGCAGCGACCCGATTGTCCAAGTGCTGCCGTCTCTCATACAAATGAACAATAGCCGTTATTACTTGTCAGCCGTGTGACTTTGACAGCACAGAACCAACTCAATTACGACACGGGCTCCTCGTGCAACAAACATTTTCATTTTTTTCTTCTCATTTAATCGACCAACGCAACTTTCTGATTGAAGCAGAGGGGCAAAGAATTACGTTTGATCCTCTCCGCAGAGAGATCTGAATGGAGGCCCGTGTGTCCACCTCTACTAACACCATTTTGTCGACTTGTGTGAGCCCACTTCCCCTTGTCGTTGCTTCACAACCTCATAAGCTTTGTAACCTATTTACAACGCGGACGACACATCTAACATCTGCCTCAGTTTCTACAGTCTCATTAATCTTCATTCTGCCTCTATGCAAACAATTTTCATCTCACTTTCATCTGTTTCTCCTTGGGCGCCACGACTGCGAGCATCTCAATATATCTTGGTTTGATGGACGATACACCCATGCTCGAACATAATTTCTGAGCCGTATCTCGAAAGTCACTTCCAGCTACCAACGACATGTGTCGTCTAGTCATTTTTACCGGCACTTGCACCAAGTGTGGCGAGGACCAAGTATGGGAAGAGCTCACGCAAGAATTATCATGTCTCCAGGCAAAAAACAATGGGATTTTTGGAGACTGCTCAAACGGTGTGTTCCAAGAACGACATGAGTTCGACCAAGAGTGCGACCAATGCACTGAGGAGGATGAAGGAGTCGGCGATGTAGGTGAAGAGGCAGCGGAGGACCTCCTTGCTCATGGGAAGCGGCTCGCTGAGGAAGAGCAGTCAAATGACTCGCGGAAGAAAGCCAAAACCAAGAGTTAAAAACCGAAAAGAAAACCAATCCAAAAAAAAAAAATTCAAGTATCAAAACATTCCGACACGGGCCAGCCTTTTTTCTGTTTTACGACGATTGCCTTGATTGCCTTACGAGCGAGCGAGCGCCGCATACAGCTGTTCTTTTGAACCCCCTCTGGGGTTCCAGCATTCGATTCTTTTGGAATATATATGTGCGATGGGGGGATATGGTATGGTACAGGGCGTTTATGGAGTTAAAAGAGGTTGATCTTGGGCCGTTGGTAACGGATGACCTTGATCGGGCTCAAATATCTGGGAATGTCTCCCACTCGGCATTCAGCATTTTTAATAACGGGCGGCATTATTTTGAAATAAGAGAAGACGTTTACATCTATATTCATACTAGGGGGAAAAATCGTACTTTGAGACGATGAGTGATGAAGACCATGTCAGCTGGATGTGGTTGCTGAGTTGAAGTTGCCCCTTGATGGCATAAAAGAAGTCACCAGAGCACTATCATCAAATCGCTGTTATCAATCATTACTATCAATTCTAGCTTCATGGCTTACACTGTCTACCTTTTTATCCCGGGTGTCTATATCTATGGACAAACGCCATGCGCCTTGCTATTCCTTTCCGTTTCTATGCTCATTTCCGATCCCTTCGTCTTATCGGTCCATCGTGGCGCTGCTTGCCTCGTCTTCCATCTCCCAGCATCTTGCAAATCATCCATCCTCACGCCTGGCCAGTCTTTTCGGCCTCGATTTCGGCCTCATGCCACGTCTCCTTTACTACCTGCCAATATCTTTGACTCTCTTTCCTTACAAGTGACACATGCTCTCCACCTTCAAACTTCTCTTTCCGTACCTTGAAGCCAGATTCTTCCGCCCGTTTCGCATGATCTTCGACCTGGCGCCAGTCGATGATGGCGTCCGCCGTTCCGTATAGATAGGTCCTTTGTGCTTCTCGGGGGAGCAGGCTTCCTCTGCGCAAGGCGTCGGCATTGAGATTCTGAGCAGGTCGGGTAAGGCGAAGCTTATATATCAGCCAGGCGACGGCGATGACAAAGTGCACCAAGGGAGAGGTCCAGCGAGGCAGAGACTGGAGGAGCGCTTTGTGGGTGCTTTTCCAGACGAAGTTGCCTGGACACGAATCTAGACAGAGGGCATATCGAGGGATGATGAGCTTGTTGCCGGCACTGTCGCTGCCGAGCTCCTTTCTCAGGAGTTCTCGGATTCTTGCGGCTGTGCTGACGCCGCCGTTAGAGAGGATGTGTAACAAGACTCTGGGTCTGCTGCTGCTACTCGTGGCCTTTGTCTCTGGCTCTGCGAATTGTCTGAGGATTCGGATGGCCGGCGGGATATGTCTGCGAGCGAGGCTTGGCCAAAAGACGTGCGATGCAGGGGAGCGGATGAGGAGAATTCGGGACGAGGGGAAGAGGGCGCGGTGTTGGGCAATGTATTTTGCTATGTGGACGTCTCGGGCACCCATCCAGCTGAGGACGAGGATGAGTTCTGGATGGCGGCGTTGCTGCTCGATTGTGACGGCATCGTCGTTTTCGGAGTGGGTGGCGAGAGGAATAGCATCTTTTGGACAATAGTATGATACGGAAGAGCTCAGATGCTCCATAAACGACAAAGGAGGCTCCTTGTTTAGAAGCAATGTCTTTTTCGAAGCCATTGTGACCCCCATGGTGGTGTAAGTCCTTTTGGGCCGTAGTACAAAGGACGGCTTCGTTTCGGCCAAAGAAGAAACTTGACGACAACAACGAATAACCCTCGCTCCTCGCCCTAACCCCCCCTGCATCGCATATCTGAATAAAGAGGAAGAAGCAGTTAGAGCTACATGGCGGCGAATGTGGCCAATATCAAAGGGCCGAGATGCACGCGGCAGAGCGACAGCAAATGAGGCCGGCATTTTGGACAGACAAAACGGGTCCAGAACCATGCATTAAGACCAATTGGCTCTAAAAGGGATATGCGGGCTGGATTGATTGATTGGGTTAATATCGCAGAGGTAGCCCAGGTTGGCAGGAGATGCGACTGGCTGGCAGATGGGGAGCTGAACAGTAGCTTTGGAGATGTGCACCTTTTTTTTTTTGCTAGTATTGCCGAGACTTTTTATTTTGTTTTCATAATCTTCTTTTTAATTAACAGTTGTCAGGAAAGCATGCACTGGCTATTAGAAGCATTTTATCTAGTTCCACTTGTTTGACGGCTATTCCCACTTCTTTCCTTGTTGGAGATCTAACCTCGGTCTGTTAGAGAATGGCCTTGGCGATAGACCGTTGAGAAGCGGTGCTGCCCGGCGACTTTTAGGTGTATTTTTTTCGATTTTTTTTTAACTTAATGACGTGCTATACGCCTTTTGAAATTGACAAGACCGGGGAAATGGAGGCAGATTAGTGCCTTTTTTTTGGCTGTTAGTTTAGACCTGGATCCACTGTTGGGATAGATCGATCGTGAAGCAGGGTTCCCATGCTGTGTGGGTGGTTAGAATGGGATTTCTCGGGCTTGTTGTGTTTCTAGCTTGCTGTTATGCTTCTTTTTTTTAGCTAATTATTAGTGGCATTATTTGAAGCTGCAAGATTCGGAGAACTTAAAGTTATCCACTGCAGCCGGTGTTAGTTATCGAGCCGAGCCATAATGTAATTGCGCCTTTCTGCCTTGTCGTTACTCTTATTGGTGCTAATGCCGCATAAATACTATATATTTGGGACTAAACACAACATGAAAGCTGATTTTCTCATCATGTAAGCGAGAAGGGGGATACAGATGGCGTACTCAATGCCACTGGGCATGCCGGGTTGACGAAGGGCACCAAGAGGGTGTCACAGAAACAAATGGAGAGCTCGACGGAAATGAAAGGCCTGGTCGTAGAGCATGTATGATATGGTAGCGTATGGGCTACCTTTCATGATACAAGACTCGATGTTTTCGAAGAGTTAGTACATCATATCAGATGGGAAGGTGCAGCATCTCGATACCTTGGCCCGACGGCTGGTATTCGCTTCGTGGTAGTGAAGTTGTACAAGACTCCCTTTATTTATTCTCTGAGAGACCTCGGCGACACTCGGCATGCTTGTTGAGGATTGTAATAGACATACTCGAGTGCTTCGAGGCGAGTGTTGTCAATGGCCTATCATGTATGAATTTGTAGTTTTTATTGCTTAAAGCACAATTCTTATTTGGAGATCTATCAATGGGCATCATATTAAGCATGGAATGAACTGCATACAAAATGCAGAATCCAAGCTATACAATTCAGCAAAACTACCCACAGCTCGGGGCGAACAAGACTCGGTCGATTAGGCTGTGTCTCGGGAAAGGCATAAGGTAGCAAGATCTGTGATACCGGGACGGGAGGAACATGAAACAGGTTCAAAGCAGAAAGCAAACATTGATCGATATGAAAGTACGACGTCGTCGGTTGGGCTGAGACTACATGTATTCACATCGCAGTGGTTTTGGCTCATCTGAGCAATACATGTATACCACAGTCTAATGACCCCTTTTTTGCTTTGTTCCTCACAGGCGAAGGCATATGCATATCAAGAAAGCTGTTTTCCAATAGCCACTGCAGCTTTTTGCTCCATTGCCTGCATTGAATCGGAGAATCAACAAATATAGCTTTCTTGATAGCCATACACTACCCTCATCTCCTCATACAAAAGACTCGATAGTCTCTCCAAGCCTATTTATTCAAAGAGAACCACAGACAAACAACATGACATTACTATTCTTGCCTTCGAGGACCGTCTCGACGTTCCACCCGTCCGCCAATTGCACAACTTGAAGTTACCCAGCCGTTTGATGCGATTGCCGAGTGAAACAGGTGGCAGGTGTTGCACGGCTTCTGAGCTGAGCGGCCAGCTGTCAAAAAGCTGGCCGCTCGTCTCGTCTCGACTCCTTTCTTTTTTGTTTTGTTTCATAGTACGCCCGACTCTATGGGCTTCTTCGCTCTTCTCTCTCTCTGTTTCCTTGTTCTTCCATCTTCGTGGCTCGAAGTCATCGGTCCTCTTTCCCCCGCAGCTTTGTGAAGCATCATCAGTTTCCTTGCTGTCCATCACTTCCATCTCCTCATCATACAGCATTATATCATCTGCTATATTTCCCACTCGTCATGATCATCATGAAGGCCCTTCAGTTGGCCTTCTGTCTTCTGGGCAGCGTCGTCATCACGGCATCCTGTGCCAACCTCCCCCGGGTCAGACGCCATGCTCCAGACTGGGACCTCGCAAAGCCCATGAACGGCCTCAGCTTTGAGAGAGCCAAGGCCATCAAGGAGCCGTCCAACGATCGCACCACGATGCACTTCTCGCACCTCAAGGGCATCAAGGCAAAGCCAGGCCAGCAGCACTCAGGCGTCTCTGCGCTCAGCCGCCTTCGCAGCAGCAGCACCCCGGGCTCCATCAAGCAGTCGTTCCAGAACATCTCTGCCCTGACCGCTGCCTCCACCCAATATGCCATCCAGTGCGGCTGGGACGGCGTCCCCGTCTGGCTGCTCTTCGACACCGGCAGCTCCGATACGTGGGCGACCAAGACGGGCTTCAAGTGCTCGGACGGCACCGGCGATTCGCACAACGAGGCTGCGTGTGGTTTCTCGACGCCGTACATCGACGGCTTCGGCCACGGCCAGATCGACGAGCTGCACTTCTACCTCAAGTACGGCTCCGGCGAGCACATCTCGGGGCCCATGGGCTACAGCGACGTCTCGTGCGGCGGCGTGTCCGTGTCGAAGCAGCAGGTCGGGCTCGCCAACAACACGTACTGGCACGGCAACAACGTCACCGTCGGCATCCTGGGGCTTGCGTATCCGGCCATCACCAGCGCCTACTATGGCGACGTTGGCCAGGAGGCGCCGTGGAACGCCATGAGCTACACGCCGTTTCTCACCAGCGCCATCAGCCAGGGCACCATTGATCCCGTCTTCAGCGTTGCCCTGATCAAGAACTCGACGGATGGCGTGATAGCCTGGGGAGGCTTGCCGCCGATGGACTGGCAGTTTAGGGGATACGCAAAGACGGATCTCATCATTGTAAGTAGCCGGCGTGATATGATACTGTTTTGACAACTAAACGTGGCGATTGAATGCTGAATGTGATGCTCTAGGCAAATCTTGTTGGCCAGCCGGAAACTGCGTGGAAGTACTCGTTCTACACGATTGTGCCTGACGGCATACGATGGGACCAGACGACGGACACCACAAAGTACCCGTATATTGTCGACACGGGCACGACGATGCTCTATCTGCCCCCTCGTAAGTCCCTTTCTGTTCCATACAGCAACTATGCAATACTGACTGTTAATTTCTCCAGCCCTGGCCGAGTCCATCGCCAACTCCTTCCAGCCGCGCGCCGTCTACCTCTACCAATGGGGCACGTACTTTGCGCCCTGCGACGCCATCCCGCCGCACTTTGCCATCATCATCTCGGGCGTCGAGTTCTGGATCAACCCGGCCGATCTGATCTACCACGATCTGGTCGACCCGCTGACGGGCTACTGCGCCATTGGCATCGCCAGCGGCGGCCCGGGGCCGTATATTCTGGGCGATGTGTTTCTGCAGAATGTGCTGGCCGTGTTTGACGTTGGCGCAGCCGAGATGCGGTTCTACTCGAGAAAATGAGGCACTTGTTGTTGCAATGGATGGTTTCTATTTTCTTCTATTTTCTCTCTTCTTTCTTACTCTTCTTGATTTGTCAATTGTGCGACCTGGAAAAGGAAGCCTATCGGTTGGTTTGACAGGATGTTAAAGCTGCAGGAATCTTGTTGGCTCTCTTTTCAAGGTGAGAGAAGCCAGGAACATTATTTCACAAATCTATACAATGATTTTTCACCTGATTAGTTATTTTTTTTGTCTCGTCATTTCATCATTTCTCCTCAGTTCATGACTCGGTGCCAAAAGTATCAAATCAAAAGCTCTGGAATGTGCAGCTCCTGAATTGCAATGCAAGGGGGTGGTTTTTGAGTGCTTATCAGCTACTGCTACTTCGTAGTTCCTTGTACTAATAACACTGCGTAGCTCAAACCCACTGGCGCCCCCATCTGCCATTATCAGACTTTTTGCGTGCTTTGATTGAGTCAACCTCATGTTTTCTTCTTCTGCAACCGTTATTCTATCTGCAGCACAACTCAAAGTATTCTTCTTCTTTTTTTTCTCTGTTGCCTTACTCACGTCTTTTTTATACAACGTTGAAGTCGCTCACCAGGGTGCGAAGACTACGCGGTATTTCTTCAGCTTTCCTTGAGGCTTTCTGCCAACCAGCAGCGCAAGGACTAGTTAAAAGGAGGAGGAGAGAGAGAAGACACAACAGCACGACGACACAATCTCGACGCAAACATGATAGGCGTCGCTGCTGGGCCGCCGTCAAGGCCTTCGGGGCCTGCGGGCAGGGCGAGAGCGAATACGTGGAGTTTCAGCAAGGTGAGAACGAGCGGGATATCGTGACGTCGACGGGTCTCTTTCTGGTTTTTTTTTTTTTTTTTGCCTTCTTCTGCTTACTTGCACATCTCCTTACGAATCCTACTTCCTAGCTTAGTGACTAGGACGTGGTAGTCTTACTATTCACAGAGTCCGAGCTGCATACAAAGTCGCTGGTCAAGTGACTGGAGATGACAAGACAGTGGTTGCAGATTAGTTGCAGACGCAGACGCAGGCGGTGAAGGCAGAGGACCCAAGACAACGACTCCATCGCATTGGGGCGGTTCCACCAGCAGAGCCGTGGCGAGGAGGCTTTACACAGACGAAGCAGACACGAAGCTCGGGATAATTCACGGGGACGGATCCTGGCAATTCTTCTGTCGAGAGGACACTTCATCCAGGTGGTTGGTCTGCTTTGCGCTCAGGCCATTCACACGCAACATACGAGATGAGCCTTGATCCCATGATTCAACCTTTTCCCTTCATTTCTCTCGGATAACCCCGGAAGAAAGGCAGCCAGGGGTGCAGCACAGCGTTCCTGCAGAGGCGACCACTGCCTGTGGCCCAAGATGCCCGAAAGAGGCAATCATGGAGACGACCCCGACGTGGAGAGATCAGGACCATCGGTTATGATCGATTCAGCAGTCCATCTGCGAGTTGCGGCCATTGGGCCGCTTGCGATATGGCGAGATTCGACGGCAAATGGGTCGACGGCCGGAATCTGGAGAAGAAAAGCACGAGAGGATTGGAAAGCCATTGGCAATCGATTGGCAATCGAAATCTATCCGCGCCTCATTTCGCTGAGCACCGGTCACCTGCCCACGAAAACGAAGCGCTTCGAATCGGAACGTCGAGACGGGCCTTGGCGTCTGGCCGCCGGGACGATTCGGGGACGACTCGGGGACGAGAGCTGGCGCTGTCAGGGGCTGGCCGGGCAAAGGGCTGGCGCCCCGCAGCGCACTCCAGGTGCTAGAGCGCTGCAGCTGGTGTTGAGCCCCCCTGACTGGACGCCGCATTACAGCGAGGCACAGCTCCTTGGAGCAGCTCCAATTCCCCAGAGCGGCCCCCACTGCAGGCTAGGCGGCACAGGGGATGCGAGAGCCGCCTGACAGAATCAACCACGCACGATGGAGCAGTGGTAATTACTTGGTGCTCCGTGCTATAAGCAGACGCATCACGAGGCATGCCGACGGCAGTTTGAAGGGGCAAATGGCATGAACAGGAGAGGCAGAGAGACGAGTTTGGCCACGGCAATCCGGGGTGTACTTCCTCAAGGCATTTGATTGAATGCACATCCGAGCTTGGATGCAATCCGTGCTAGAATAAGGAATCCGAGGTACACGGACAGGCTGGGCAGGGGCCTTCTATTCTCCCAATTTTCTTCCATTTCCCCTTCCGTTGTTTTTCATTCTGTTTCAGGGCCCCCCTTCCCTAGGTAAGCGCGGAAGGTACATTCATCGACTCGCTCTCACCGAGCCCGATGCCGTTGCCTGCCTGCCTCCGGAGAATTTGCTGGTCTTTTTCGGTGCCTGTCCGCATGTCACGCTGCTCCTTCCCCTGGCATCCAGTTTTCTTTATTACTGCTGTCATTGCCGGATTATCACACACCTGCCACCTCTCTGGCTGTTCCTTCCTGTGGAAAAGAATCTAGAGCTTAGTGCTTGAAAGACCTGCCGTTGGATACTAAGCCTAGACTTTCCTCCAAATTTGAAGTCTAGCACCTGCCTACAGCTTTGCTCGGCGTGCTGCACTTGCACGATCCGATACGTGTACCTTGATAATCCGGGGTATTCTGTATCTGGCAGTCACGAGCAACCACCACCGCCGCTACTCGGTACTAGGCAGTACTTCTGGGCGCCGATATACTACAACTTGGCCTTGCGGCGTGCTAAAGTCTCCTCTTTTTTCCCTCCAGCTTTTTGGCAGCGCCGTCTCCGCAATCTGCATCATCCCAGGACTGCAAGCTTTTTACGCCCATCGTCATTATCACGGCCGCGAAGCAAGCTGCAGCTTTTGCCGGGGTGCGCCTTTACCCCCAATCACGGCCCTCTGCTGCGGTGCTACCCGCCTGCAGCCCTTTTTCCCGGCGCTGCGTCGCTGCAGGCTTGCCTCGGCTGTGGGCTGTTTCGACCACTGCGGCCTAGTGCCCATCAGCCACTAAAGCGGCTTGACGTCGATAGAGCATCGACTCTTTTGGCCTGGAGCTGCTGAACTGCCGCACACCCTCACGCGCGCACCTGGATTGAGCACCCTTTCACGCAATTCTACGTTCCCGGGCCCTTCGTCACGCTCTGCTGCTGCTGTTCAGCGCTCTTCGGTCACTGATTGACTCTGACCTTCGCCTATTCTCTGTTCAGCCACTCTCACGCAACCCACGGCCAACATCTGCGTCGCCTGCCTCTCAGCCGCTTCTATCCATCACCTGGCCTCATTCACTTTTGCCTCGTCTCAAGAGAGATCCGAGGATCAAAAGCCATCCTCCACCGTTGCTTTTGCTACAAGCTTCTACTGCTGCTACTGCTGCTACTGCCTCTCCTATTCCTGCTGGGCCCTCATATGTATCAGCCGCCACGCCGGATGCCTCTGCTATCACACCCCAAACACCGTATCAGCATACTTGATCTTAGCAAACAGCATCGCCAGCTCCATCATCGTGACAATGCCGTCCAAAACTAACAATGGCGTGGGGATCCAGGTCGAGGACACCAAGATATGTGTTGTCATGGTCGGTCTCCCGGCCCGCGGAAAGAGTTACATTGCCCAACTAGGTATGCTTGTTCCGGATATTTCTTCATCTTCTTTTCCTCTCTTTCATTTTGGCTTCTTCTGAGCTTTGCGGGAACGGGGCAATGGCCCAGTCCCGACATATGCCTATCCATGTACACATGCACGCACGCACTCCCTCACGCATCCATTGAGCCGAATGCTTGCCTTCAGATCCTGTTGCATTATGACGGTCTCTTCCCCTCTCTTCTAGCGTCGGGAAGCTGCCTGATTTTCTCCAACTTCTCACGCCACTTTGTATAGACTATTGGGAGCTTGACTGACATTGACTTTTCGTATTCCTTGTTCGGATATATAGCCCAGAGATATTTGCAATGGCTGTCAATTCCAGCAGCGACTTTCAATGTCGGCAACTACCGGCGTCATGACGCTCCACAGCCAACGGCCGACTTTTTCGATTTCAGCAATCCCGAGGGTGAGCGGAAACGCCGTGCCGCTGCCGAGGCCGCCGTAGCTGACATGCTTGCCTGGTTCCGCACCGGCGGCGTTGTTGGCATTCTGGATGCGACCAATTCCACCAAGGAACGCCGTAAATGGGTCTATGATACGTGCACTGCCCATGGCATCGAAGTTCTGTTTGTCGAAAGCAAATGCGATGATGAAAAGACCATCATGGCCAACATCCGTGACGTCAAGCTGACAAGCCCCGACTACAAGGGTCAAGATCCAGAAGAGGCGGCTCAGGACTTTCGCAATCGGATCAAGCACTACGAAAAGGTCTACAAGACTATTGATGGCGACAAGGATGAGGACAACTACACCTACTTGAAATTGATGAATGTTGGCAAGCAAGTCATCATCAACCGTATCCAAGACTATCTCCAAAGTCGCATCGTCTACTACCTCATGAACCTGCATATCCGACCGCGATCAGTTTGGCTATCAAGAGTGAGTTACTATATTATAAACCATGGCTTTCCACCTTCGTTATCTAACTGCTTGTCAACAATAGCACGGCGAGTCTCTATACAACCTGAGCGGACGTATTGGCGGAGACATGCTTCTGTCTCCCCGAGGCGAGCAGTACGCTAGGAAGCTGCCGGACTTGGTACGAGAGTCTGTGGGAGTAAGTTTCAATCCCTATCATAGTTCATATGAGATCCTTCATACGTGTCTTTATATGTGTCTTTAGAGTACATATCGCGAATTGGGTACTGACAATAGTCAAGGATGACCGCCCTCTAACGGTGTGGACCTCAACATTGAAGCGTACCATTGCCACAGCCCGTTTCCTCCCAGCGCACTACAATCAGTTGCAATGGAAGGCGCTGGATGAATTAGACTCTGGTGTGTGCGACGGCTTGACCTACCAAGAAATCAAAGACCGCTACCCCGAAGACTTTGCGGCCCGCGATGAGGATAAATACAACTACCGATACCGTGGTGGCGAGTCGTACCGTGACGTGGTTATCCGCTTGGAACCAATCATAATGGAATTGGAACGTAGCGAGGACATTCTCATTGTGACTCACCAAGCGGTATTGCGCTGCATCTACGCATACTTCATGAAGAAGGATCAGGCTAAGAGCCCCTGGATGAACGTGCCGCTTCACACTCTCATAAAATTGACACCAAGGGCGTACGGTACAGAGGAAGTTCGGTACGAAGCGCATATTCCAGCTGTGAGTACTTGGCGTGGAAAGGGAAGTACTGCCAAGCATGAGAATCCCACTCCAGAAAGCCTGTGAGGCAAGGAGTGAGAAAGGAATTATATGGAAAGGAGGGAAAGGAGGGAAAGACAGGACAAACAAAATTGTAAGCATACAAGTTCATGGATGAACCGAGAGTATCCGGAGTTTGGGGGAGACGAAGGGATAAAAAGTGCCGACCAACGGCACAAAACAAGGCTAGTATACCATTTTACGCTTGTTCTCATGTGGTTTTGGATCGGAAATGGAGTGCTTTGTACACGGACTGCATGCTCATCGCCAAGGACAAGAGAGTGAGTCCAAAACGCTCATTCGACTCTAAATAAAAATCAATACCTTATCAACGCTGTTTGCTCTATTCTGAAGGATATATGTGCAGCTTGAGAGCGCTCAGGAGTCACTGCTCTACTGAGATATTCTATGCCAATGTGCGATGAATATGCGTCTTTGATTCTGATTCACAGTCGTTTTCTGCGCGTCTGCCCATTCAAAAACGGCTTCTGTTCACTCTCGTACGCAAACATGGGCATTGTCACGATATTTGTCCGATTCAAGGTGAATCGCCATTCTAAGCAAAGATTTAATTCAATAGCTCTCCATCCCCTCGCCCTTGGGCAATGAGCAATAAGAGTTGGCGTTGTTATATCTGTCTACAACAAAAAAAAAATAACTGATCAGCATCTTCAAGCGTCATGGCATTCGTATCCCCCATTCTCGGCGTCGGGATCCAGCACTCTCGGCAAATCCAAATCCATTATCCTGCCATCGTTCAGCAGCCGGTCATACCTATTGTTCCGCAACCTCAGTTTCTACTACAGCCCCAGATCCAAGTCTATCAGCCTCCTCCTGTGAGCATGATGGTGCCAACAATGGTAGCCCATTCTCCTATTTTCAACCCTCCTTATTTCATCGTGGCGTCTGCTCAGCCATCGCTAGGGCCCGACACGCATCTACCCAGCGGTATCTCATTGCGGGCTGTCTTTTATGGGCACCCATCCGACGACGATTATACTCTCCCCATGTGCATCTCCAGCACGACTTATACAGAGTGCGCATTACCGAGTAGGGATGCCCTGCTTGCGGAGATAGCGATCTGGGCTGGACACCATAACCTTTCGATTAGGCATCCGGGTGGACGGATCGATCCTCTTAGGGTCAAGCTATATGTCTTGCCGAAGAGTGCCAGTTCCAGAGGGCAATTATCTGGGATAAGTTATGAGCCGGGTGCGGGACTGGTTTTGCCGGGAGACGTGGTCAAAGTGGTCAAGTTGGGCGGGATCGAGGAGAAGGACTGGGAAGAGGCGTTGAAGGAGATTGAGAAGGAGGGTTATGGGGCTGTTGTTGCGGTGGATATGGGTGGTGGTGGTTTGGGTACGACTTCGACTTCGACTTCGCCTGCGTCTGTAGTTTCAACTCCTGAGCCTGATACGAGTGGTGACCAGACCGCAGCAGTAGCATGATTCCAGTCTCTCTATGTTGAAAGAAAGGAATTCATTCATCAGATACGTCACAAGGAAGAAGGGGAAAAGGCAGTTTCAATGTATCACTTCTTCAATAAGATATATGAGTTAAGAAAACAGTTCAACTTTCATAAAACAAAACAAAATCAGTATGCACAACTATAAAACACACACCCCTACTCCGCCTCATTCTGTGCCAAGAATATAAAATAAAAAAAATCCCAGTCCTCGCCAAAAACACGCGCAAATCAAAACCATACCGAGACATATTTACATCCCCGTATTAGTATAATATTCCAAAAGTACTAGATGTGTGTGTGTGTGCGTGTGTGTGTGTATTTTATGTATAGGCTTTCGCCTTTTTTGTTTTCCTGGTGAAGGAAGAGAAATAGAGGCTTTGTGTGTTTGTGACCATTTGCGTATATATCAGAGAAAAAGGAAGAATAAAAGCGCGGCAGCTCAGCGAGAACGCCGACTTCTTGAAAGAAAGAGAAAAATGTCAAAAAGTATAAAAGAGGACAAAAAAGCTCGCGCAAGGAACAACAAAAACTTCAACGGACAAAGAAGAGAAGTAGAGAAAGTGACAGTAGGACGAAACCTTTTTCAAGCTTCAAACGACCTTCGTCAGCAAAACAACGTAGCCCCTGAGGCATCAAGTCTGCCTCCCCTCTCCTTGAACTATGAAGTGAGAAAAGAAAGATAAAACTCAACGATGCTGTGTCTATCTTACGTTTAGACACAAAAACTTTTTCGTTTTTCAAGCAGAAATGGGTAATTGAAAACCAGGACAAAAAAACGAAGAGGTCTTTGAAGGAGAAGAAGAACAACTCTCAATCACGGGGGTACGGAGCAATAAAGCCAAATCCTCCAGACTGGTCGAGTCGCAGTTTATGGTACACGAGTAACTCTGTTACCCAAATTATAAAGAGCCTATCCTCCTTTTCTCTTCCAAACAGCGCCATCAAGCACAAAAGCTCTAATGTTTCCTTCGCTAAAACTGTCGCACAACGTGGCAAGACCCAAAAAGACAAAACTCCGCATCTCATGGCGTCTACCCCGTATATATCATGATGTAGAGAGCAGAACAATGTTGGAAAAAGAGAGAGAGAAAGAGCACCTGGTCCTCGGAGAGCGTCGGATCCTGACTGAACAATGCTTCCGCACTTCCGCATCAAGGTGTCGTCGAGCTGCTCCAGGGTCTTGTTCATTGCCAACATACACACACACCAAACCTGCCACTGGGTATCAATCCACCGACACACATATAGACTGTAGAAGAAAACAGGCGTTTTCCAAATAGCTGCCAAGAAGCGTATACTGTCGGGAGCGAGTACACTTTCCGGGTTCTCTTTTGCAAAACAGAGCTTTTTTTCCAACTTGTCCAATATCGATAAAAGAAAAGCCAAAGATAAAAACACCGAATCGATGAAATCATAAAGAGTTTCAAACACAAGACGCCACCATGCCGCATGATGATTAAGGACGTGAAAAAAATCTGGCGTAATGCGTGCTACAGCATCATTAGTTTTGATGCGTAGGCAAAAAAACATGTCTAAGAATGACAATCATGCATTACCACACCTCAAGCTGGGTTGGCCTTGACACGCTTTGCCATCCGAGGAGTCTGGGGCTTGGCCCTGTTCTGTATCCCGTTGACTTGGCCAGCACCTGGGGCGACGGAATCATCCTCAACTTTGACTGTAGACGGACGCCGACGCTTGTTAGAAGCCGGTGACGTGTTCGCACTTGGTCCGCTCGAGCTTGTTCCCTGTTGGCTTGGCTGGAGCTGCATGCCAGGGGCTTGACCTGGCGCGGGACTTCCGATGTGAGGTGAGCCTGGAAGGTTCATGTGTACCGCTGCAGGGCTCGCTCCGATTGGAAACTGTCCAAAGCCGGGAGTCCTGGGTGCTTGCGCCATGGCTTGGCCGTTCATCACCGGGGTCGCGCCATTGATTTGGGTCGCTACGTATTGTTCAAGCGCTCCATAGGGAGTTAGGCCAGGGTTTTGGTTGTAAAATCCAATCAACGGGTTCATCTGACCCATGACTTCTACAATCTACAGAAACAGTTAGATCGTTGCTATTCTTCGTTACATCTCGTCTACAATCCACCCTTGACATACCTCGAGGAATTGATGGACGGCCGGGGTCACTCCTTGTTTGTTAACAGCCGAGTTGAGGTCAACCAGCACGCCGGGTGGCTCTTTCTGAGGCGACTTGAGCTGCCGAGCCTTGCCCTTCTTGGACATTTCTGGAGATTGCTTGCCATCAATTGTGTTAACACTACGCCACTCCTTAATCCATTCGTGTGTTGGCTTCGCTGCTTCGATGACACTTCTCATAGATACAAATTCCTCGTGTCCCGTAGTGAGAAACTCGAACAATTCGATTTTCTGTTCGGCATCAAATTGCGCACGTAGCGTTCCATTGGCCACGAGCTGGAAGGGCAGAATCAATTAGCACAAAAAACAGCCAAACAGGGTGGGGGAGAAAACATACATGTGAACCTGTCTCGAACCAATAAACGAAACTGGCTCGTTGGTTCTCGATACAGTAACAATCTCCGGGCAATGCTTTGTCGATGCTTCCACCGTCGAGAATGAGTTGTATACTCTTGACACCACTGCTGTAATAGGTGTGGAGATAGCGAGCAATCACTGGATAAGCAATTTCATACTGCTTATCTGGTACCTCTTCCTTCTCGGTAGGGTGGAATGAATGGCGGAAAACACCATTGGGTGATGAGAAGAACTGGGATACAACTCTACTCCAGTACGTGAGATCCTCTCTGTTCTTTGCTCCCTAAATAAGTGAACATTAGCATCAAAGGCCAGGCTGTGATTGATTACAGTAAAAACACATACAGGAAAGGTACTTAGGCATTCGCCAAAGTGCATCAGTCTTAGGAGACATCTTGTCTTCATCCCTTCTCTAAGTTGCTGCTGCTGCTGCATCAAGGTATTGGCCATGAGTTGCTGGGTTGCAACGGCGGCCATCTGGTTTTGATTCGGAGGATGGGCCTGTTGAGGCTGGGGCTGGCCCTGTTGCATCTGATTTGCTTGAGCCGGAGCTGGTGCGGGAGTCTGGGGGGTCTGTTGCCCCGTCGGTGCAGGCGTGCCGGCTTGTGAGGCTTGCTGCGGCGTCGGCTGCGACTGGGGACCGGGTTGCTGCTGGGGTTGCTGCTGGGGCTGGCCTGGCGGTTGCTGTCCCGGCTGCTGCTGTGCGCCCATTGACGGTTGAGCTGCCATGGGATTCGGCTGTGGCATGCCCTGCATGGGTTGAGCATTCATCGCCATGTGTTGTGCTTGGTTATGGCCCGCCATTTGCTGGTTGTGCGCAGCCTGTTGCTGCGCGGCCTGCTGCTGCTGAGCCTGCTGCTGCGCTGCCTGTTGTTGGGCCTGGGCCTGGGCTGCTGCCTGTTGCTGAAGGGCTAGCTGCTGGGCCATGATCGCTTGCGGGTTGTGCGCCTAGGGAGTCATGTTAGTCAGTGTCCCGGGTCTCTCCGTCGCGGTGAAGAAATCGCCATATGAAGCAACTACTAACGTTTACGTGACCCATCGTAGCAGCGTTCCGCGCCTGTCTCAGCTGGTGAAGCTGCTGTGGTGTGAGTTGCATGCCCATGGGCATGCCGTTGACTGCACCAGGAGTCATGCCTGGGAACTGCTGCGCCATCATTTGCCGCTGTTGTTGTTGATGATGGAGCATTTGCTGCTGGCGGATAGCAGCCATTGCGCTCGGGTTGTTCATCCCAACTGGGTTGCCGCCACGTTAGTCTGCCAGATCCATGACGAATATCCATGCCAGTAGGTTACTTACATTGCTGCTGCAGCTGCTGCTGCTGCTGTTGGAACATTTGCTGCTGTTGCGCAGGACTCATTTGATGCATCGGGTGAGCATTCGGGTTCGCTCCGGGAGGCATGCCGCCCATCAAGGCCGGATTGACCTGGCCTCCTGGACCAGACACGGCAATGTGGCCGCCGGCGAACTGGTGAGGCATCCCACCAGGCGCGCCCTGCTGGCCTGCGTTGGGCTGCATGCCAGGACCAGCCATCGGATGTCCTGCGACTCCCGGATGGCCCATCGGGTGCCCCGCGAAGTTGGGGCCCATACTACTTGCGGCCATCATCTCTAGATGAGGCCGGCTATCCACAGCGTGGATGTCGACGAGCGTCCGTAGACACTATCGCATGCGCATACGACGGGGGGTATGAGAGATCGCGACCGTCGTCGGTACAGAGAGACGTGTGTTCCGCTTGCTGTGGGCTCAGGTCTTGCTGCCTTGTCCTCTGTTGCTGTATATTTTGGAGTTTCGCGTCGCGGCGACAGGTAGCGTGGATCACGGGGTAGCAGCGGTGGGAGGCGGCAGTACCGCAAGTGAGACTTCTAGAAAATTGGTAATAACAACAATCGTCGAGGGCACAGAGTCCGCGTCCCAAAAAAATAAAAATAAAAGCGTCTATAGCGAGAAGAAGCGACGAGGCGTGCAGTGGCGACGATGCATCGGCAAGAGATAATGCGGTCCGATGGGTAGTTGGTGGTGCGATCCGTGATACCACACCAGCCCGACTCAAGACACTGCGACGGGTGACAAATAAGAGGTCTAGCGGCTGAGTGGGCAGCAAGTAGAGGAATAAGCCCAAAAACGAACTATGTTCGGGGACAAGAACCCCAATTTGATGAGGGAAAGCCCGGGCGCCAGAGGAAGAGGCCGGTGAAGAGAGATTGGGACGCGATGCAGAGATGGGCGAATAAATATCTCCGCCAGATCAACGGGATTTTGCAGCCAGCTTCAGCCTACGGTATAATCGCGGCAACCGACCCAACCGGCGCTTTGGCTGCTGTGCTGTGCAGACTCCCGCGTTCTTTTTCTCCCAGGCTCTTTGCCCAAGCGTCTGGCGCGACTCGCAGCGCTGATGCCGCCACAGTATGCGCTGGTGCGGTGCTGTGCTGGTGCTGGAGCGGATGGAGGCCAGTAGAGCAGAGAGGAGATGCGAAGAGACGAGGGACGTATCCAGGTGGATGTTGTGTCAGGTCCCCAGGCCGTCTGGCGAGACGAAGGACGTCGCAGTGCAGCAGGCAAGGCGTCGATTCTGGCAGACCAACCCTGCGGGAGCAGCGAGACGGCGTTTGGGGGATCTTTGGTGCGTGGGTACGTGAGTGGGCGGGAATGACCAGGGGAGGAGAGAAGGCCAGGGATGGGCCGTGGAGATTATGCAACTAAGCGGTGCAAAAGCCCCGCTTGGGATATTCAGCAAATACTGTAATATGTGCTTGCATTATTGTGGTTGGAGAGTGAGAGGGTAGTTGTTTGCTATGGACTGCACTGAAGTGGCATCTTGTGGAAAGCAGATGGAATTCTGAGCAGAAAATGGTTGGCAAGAAAATGAAAACGGGTCTCTCTTTGTTCTTATACTGCTGGTAATCGATAAGACAGATTTTCACTCGAAGAGGCTCCATTACAACACGCATTGTCCCTGTTGAGCCCTAGCTACTAGAGGTAACTGTGAAGATGAATGGATGTAAAAGGTACGGAATAGTACAGCAACTCTGGTGTTGAAAAGCAGCGGGCTTCTGGGGACACTAGAAGCACTCGAAGTATTCCTCAGTGTTCTCCAAGTATGGATACTTTTCGCCAGTTGAGGCGCACTCTATGACATGCCCTGGCACTGAGGGCTTGGGGCTGTGTGTCCTCTATACTTCCATGAAGTGGGTTCACAGGGCTGGGTATTCCTCTCTCCTCATTGTTTTCCGCTCTTTCTTTTCAAACTGACCTCATATTTACTCTCTTTATACATCTCATATGACTCCAAATGACTTATGCGCACTGCAGCCTTCAAATGAATCAGGTACTTGACAACGAGATCGTGTAAGCGTAATGAAATTGCAGTACGCACCATAGCCTCTGCTCATCTCGGAGCAACCTTATCCGTTTAAGCCTATTTAGGCAGCAACCAGATGTCCGCTTTCTGACCTAGTCTGCTTTTCGCTATAGTCCGCTCAAAGTCGGTGGCTGGTAGCAGTCATACCTCTCTATCGGGCCGCTAACGTCGGGATAGCTATTTTTCCGCTCGATAGACGGGAACCGACGTCTGGTACCTGGCAGCATCGGGCCAAATCGTATCTCTTTTTATCTGACCGGATTATCCGCATCGTTGGGACTCATAGGAGATGCGACAAAGAATAAATGAACATCCGACAAGATCTACTCCTGGGAATACTGGAGCAAATAGTTTTTCTTGACAAAACACTGAGGCGCAATGACAAATCATCCGCCGACATGCACATAATCTTCAGTTTACGAAAATCCGCGGCAAACCTGCTAGCGCCGCATTCAGCCTTAGCAATCGTGCCTTAGCTCTCTGAAGTGAAAATCATTTGGGTAACGAGATGACTAAATCCGAGGCACCACTTGCAGCTGCCGCCGCTAATCCTATAAGCGGGAGGACAGTATCACGTGAGACATTTACAGTGCCATTAGTGAGAAAATTTTGCTGGCACTGTACCTGAATATCTTCTCTCGCCGATGGAGCTTCTGGGCAAAAAATTTCCTTCCACCACAACTTTTTTTGCCCATGCAAAGAGCTCACTGACAGTCTCTTCGTTTTTCTCTCAGCGCCGGAGACGAACGGAGAAGTTTGATTTTGGCTTCTATTCTTTCCTGGCCTGAATAGAAGGACGACGAGTCTATCAGAATCGAGTTTCTTGAAGCGTGTTTGTGCAAACGCGTTTGCTTGAATTGTGATGTCAAAAAGGTAAGAATCCTTCTGGTTTTTCTCCCGTCCCTACACAGGAATATGCAATTCCTTTTCTCTCATTTTATGATGACACCTAATAAACGTCTTCTTTTCCCAACCGAATCGACCATGAAGAAGTTTTTGACTACTCGGATCCTCAGGATCTGTTACTTGCCAGTATAATTGTCTGACCTTTGCACACATTTGCCCAACGCACATCTTTCACTTTTTCTGCTTGAGCGGTCATGCTAACTCTATGAACTAGATTTTCTAGAATATTCTCCGACTTGCTATACCTTTTTCCGTCAACAACTAACCTGGCAGCCACACCGAGCTCGTGCCCTGACCATATGGTGAGTACCTTTCTGAATTTTTTTTTTTCTTTACTCTTGATCATGTGTTTGCATGATGAAAATTTCCATTTAATTCGCAGTTTCCACTCGAGTTCCGATGAGCCTTTTTCTGGAACAGATGAGGGTTATTACTTCCTTGGATGTCTGATCAAACACATTATCTTCCTTTTTTTATATCACGTCTTGTTTTATCTCTGCGATTTTACGCATTAGTCGGGCTTGAAGCTAACCCGTCAAAGATTCAATAGTGATTTCTCTAGGGCAGATTGCTCCTCGTAGATTATAGACATAGTTCATTATTCATGGAAATAAAACATCGTTCAATCAATTCATCTTTGTCTATCCATTCTTGCTTTGTAGATATGTCTGTATTCTTGTACTAATATGCCGTATCTGATATTCGGGCTTTTTCGCCGAAGTAACGGAGCCTTGTTTTTTTTTTTTCTTTTTTCCTTCCTGATAAGGTGTTGTCCGGATAAGGGATAGCCCGAAGGTTAAATTGGTTGATTCGGCCTTGATGACCTTGACGGCTGACGGCGCATTTCTAAAGACACTACCCTACAAGGGTTCTCAATCACAGATTGTCTTGTATCATTACACTGTCATCCAAAGATACGTAGGCTTGGGTCTATTTGAGTTGTTCGTTAGATATAGGCGGGGTGTTTGATCTATTATCATTAAGACACAAGTGTGTTGCAGCTTTTGCACATCTTTTACCTGCAGAATCAATGTCTTGTCTCTTGGTTTAATCTTAGTACTATAGATACCTAGTCAGAGAGAGCTCTGTATAAAGTGATCATACATGTTTCTGGTTTCTACGAATGGGTTACGAGCTTTCCACATGGCACCGCGGTAATCTGATATTCTTTCCCGAAATGAAAACTAAATGCGCCCTATTCTCCTATCCATCGTAAATACAGCCCAAATATCCTCCAGATCAAGGACAAAGTCACTCAAGCAACTCGCACCTCCTCGCGGATTTCATCTCTCCTCACTCTGCCACCAACTATACCCATCCTGTTACGCCCCGTCCGGCCTCTCCCCAGCCAGTTGAGCTTGAGCATCTTGCACAGCTCAACCATCTTCCTGTTACTCTCGTCGCCTAGATCGCCGCCAACGCCGCCGATGCTCGAGAGGACACTCATGCACTGGAACATCCGGCCCACCATGTCAGCTACTTGCTTCGAGTCCTCGATATTTTGCTCACGGACGCTGCTGAGGGCTTGCATGCCTGACGGCGTATAGGGGCGAATCACTCCATCGCTGCCACGGCTACCAAGACTGACGTTGCTCACTGCTCGACTGCGACTGCCGGCAGAGCCATCACCTAGCAATGTAGTGCTGGTTGAGTTATACGAGCCAACTGAAGGGTCAATGGACATGGCCGTGCCAGGGCGGGCCATGGAAAAGAAGGACTCGGGAGGCGATGTGGAGAGAGTAGCTTCCAAAGGAGGAGATGCGAGCGCCATGTTTGCCCATGCCGAAGGAAGAAACTCCAGAGAGAGGCGGGAGAATATTGTTTTGAGGGTCTCATAGCGTGACAAGATGACGGTATCCCGATAGGCCGTCAATACCAGGCGTCTTACGTCAAGAGCAGTCGCTGCAGGTAAGACCTGTGCTGATTGCCCTGCCGCAGGAGAGGGAGCAGTGACAACGCCGCCCCAAAAGTCGCGAGCTTGTTCAGGCGTCATAAGAGTACCACAGCCTGACACCTCTAGATCGAGGGGAAGCAGTGCCGCTTGCATATAAGGCAAGATGGAAGTGAAAGTAACGAGCCAGTTGTCCACGAGAGTCGGCATGAAGCGCTCTTCTGGCATTCTCCGTAGTGTCTTATCCATTGTAGCGAAGCCCAAAGATAGAAGCTCTCTAAGATCCTCTAGCAGTCTATTCGGCGACCTCTTATGGATACACCATTGAATATGCAAGCTAACAATGCGATTGATGTCTTCCACTGGAAGGCGAATATCCTCGCCTTGGAAAATAACAAGAAGCTTTGGCTTTAAGTAGTTCCACGCATCATCCATAGCCAGGCCTGTCAGCGCCGATTTGACACCGTCCACTGTGTCGGATAGAACACTTGATTGCTGCGACATGGATGGTAAGCTTTGACTACCAGGCCAATCTCCGGGCACTGATTCACTGTCCATGCGACTATCCGATCTTTCGGCATTCTTTTTATCTTTCTTGGCCTTTGCAAAAGTAGAAGACGTAGGACCCGGGCTGGCGGGGACGCTGAAATTGTAAAGACTGCTTGGTGCGTTTGGATCCGTAGGCCTCGAGTTGCTAGCGGCCGATGAAAGCGGTAAATGATACTCATCCTTGAGCTTCTGCTTCTGTCTTGAGAGGAAGTGATGCTTCTTCTCTTTCTCTTTTGCCTTTTCCTCCCCGGTCGCTTCGTTTGGCCGAATGGTTGCCGACGATGAATTGTTGAGATTATAAAAAGACTGACTACCAGAGTCTGTGAGATTGGTTGAGCTGAAATTGCCTCGCTGAAGAGCTGATAAAGCCGAACCAATCTTGCCTGGACTTGGCAATGCCTTTTCCTTGGTGTCTTTGGCGCTAATTTTGGACGGCCGTGAGAATAGTTTGGCCTTTGCCTTTTCGGATTTGGAGAGAGGCTTCTCTGAAATAGTTGAAGCAGAGGTTGCGGCAGGCAAAGACGGAAATGGTTGCGGCTGAGGAGACACGGACGGCTCTCTTGGAGAATTGCCACCAGACCGAGGGAATACAACACTGGCAGCAGCCGTAGCAGCAGCAGAAGACTGCATAGAAGCAGCCCCAAGCCTGTCTTGATGTGGTTGACGTGCGCCTCCTCCTGAGATGTTGAAGGCTGATTCCCGCGGCGCACTGGCTTCCGTTAGGCTCAATGTGGGCGGGCTTATAGGGCCTTTGCTGCCGCTCCCTCTCCTCGCGCCTTCAGTTTCTGGGGCTGTCTGAGATCGCTGGCGCGACTGGAGGGTGTTCTGATGCGACATTACGGCCGCTTGCGCAGCAATCGCGCTGGCAGACAATCCTCCATTCGCAGGGCCTGCAGGTTGGCCGCTGTGGCCCATTCCGATATGGGACAGGTTGGACGTGCTTGTTGACGGCAAGGATGGCTCAAACATGCCTTGGGTGGCAGCGTGTTTCCTCGAGTGCGTCTTCAGAACGGGGGACGACGCTCCCTGAGGCGCGGTTCGGGGCGCGCTCGGGCGAGGATAGCTCTGCTGGACGCTGGCGCTGCTGCTGGCGAAGGCATGGCTGGCGAACTGCTGATATATGGGCGTGGAAGGCGGGTTGGCGGCGCCGGCGCTCTGCTGCCGAGCCTTGGGGATGATAATGGCGGGCGTGCCATCCTCGCTGCTGCTGGGTGAGTCGACCATGCGCAGGGGAGGTGGTCGTGACGATGATCCCGGCAGGTCGATGGAGGATCGCGGCATCCCGGGCAAGGGCGAGAAGCTGCCGGGAGCTCGGCCCTGAGGCCGTCCCGTATTCGATGGTGTGGGCTGCATCTTGCGGTGATGTGAAGGGCTCGTTACATCTTGGCTGGTGCCGAGAACATGAGGCCAGGCGGTTCTGGCGTCGTGGTGAGGGCGGACGGGCCGCGACTCGATGTCGCAACCAGGGCCTGTGGGTCTATCGCTTGGGATTCTAGTGAGGTTCGAGGCGTCAGAAGTCTAAAGTGATGAGAGGGAAGCTCTAGGAGAGACAAAAGGCTGAGGTTGGTCGTTGGCGGAAGAATGCCGAGCTCTTGGAGTTGGAGAGTTGAAGATGAGACGGCTGCCGTGGGGTTGCGTCTTCCGAAAGCAACCCTCGTAATGTAAGGCAGTAGATCTGCATGCATAGATAGAGCTTATCTCGGTAGGCATTATCGCATCATGTTCCGCTCCATACACGGGCCATCGGCCTGCTAGAGTGTGTACATGTTCTATGTATACGCAAATATCAAGTCTTTAATACCATCTTAAAAGACTAGCAGTAGTTCTTATTCTCTACTTGCCTCATGCCAATCCTTGTTCTTCAGTTCTGCTCTACTCTGGCCTGCTCTGCCCATTGCTGCATGTACCTCGTCTTACTCCCTAAATTGGGTGGATACCCAAGTACCGAAAGCTGAGGCTCAAATTCCGCACTAAAGCAGTACTGAGGTACATGTCGTATGTGGGGCCCACCAAAGCTTGGGGGAAAGCTATAAAAAAACCAAAACCAAAATCTCGTGCCTCTAGCCTTCTTCTTGCTTCTTTCCCCTCAAGCATCGCCCTCTTCAACGCTGCGTTTCCATGCTACAAACGGAGAATGAAAAGAGCCTTCGGGCTCTTTTCAATCTCGATTTCTTTTTCGCATGTGGGAAATTCGGAGAAAGCTTCAAAGCAGGAGGTGGATACGTTCCTCTCTTGTGCTCGTTTTCCATGCCTGGAGCGCCCTTGTGGCCTCCCGACGTGTGTCTATCGAGTCTGCCTGTGATGGCCTGGCGTCACCCCGACGTCTGCAACAGACATCAGAAATCTCAGGCCCGGGAGAACCTGCGTGTATACTTCGGGAAGACGTGGGTTTATCTCGGTGTCCTATGGGAAGTCGTTGCGAAGCTTGTTGCGCAAACTTGAGTGCGATATGCAGCGTTCGTTTTGCTTCGGCGAAACGAATCACACAATTCCGATCATTCTGTTGAGGGCGATGCTTCACCTCTTTTTCTCCTCAGGTAAGCTGCTGATGTTTATGTCTGTTGCGCTTTTGGGCAAGAATACTACTAATGATTCGATCCTCTTGTTTGAGACTTCTAGATAGTAGAACTGGAGAGTGGTGGGCTACTCAGCTGCCTCACCCTGATTCGAATTTAATCTTTGGCCTTCCCTTGGCCTCCTGTACTGCTTCGCTATCGATTGAACCGCAAACCTCTGAAAAGAGGCCATCGCCGTTTTACGGCAGATATGGGGCGAATGACTCACACTCAGAGCTCTCGTCTTACCTTTCAACCTTGTTGTAGCTTCTCGTACACACCTCGTAGTGCAATCATGCTCCCTAAACATATCATAGCCGTGTATCTTATAGCTCTTTTGCGGCTGTTGCTGATGGATGCTTTCATCCGATGAGATACTGTCAAGCGCTTTCATTTGAAGTCACCAGCCACAGATGCTGCCTGCTGATCTACTCTTCAACTTACGGAGACGCGGACTTATTGATCTAGTAATGGAAATCGCGTCTCTTCAATCTCCTGGAATACCTACTGCTGGTATGGAGAGAGCATCAAAGATTGCCAAATCTACCAGCCTGGACCGCCACGTGATCCGCCTCTCAGCAGAAATTCTGCCCCTCCATGCAGAAGCCAAAGCTCTCAGCCTGCTACCCCACCAATCTCTCTGCACTCCCATACTAAACGACCACCTCTAAAAGTAATCACATTCAATCCCAAAGATAGATCAAAGCTCCTCACAATGTCTCAATCAACGCCCTCAGATCCCGCCCTCACAGCGTCCTACTCCTCACCCTCCAGCGCGCCCTTCAGCATCTCCAAATCCATCCCCGCGCCGCCTACGCCCCTCGACCCGGCCGGAAAATCCACCTATCTCGAATCACTGCGCGCTTCCGTTGCTGCGGCCCAAGATCAGATCAACAAGGAGCTCACGACGCGCATGGAGGAAGATAAAGCTCGTGAGGGAGGAGCCGCGGTTGTGGATGAAGAGAAAGAGGAAGAAAATTACGGCGAGGAAGTTCAGGAAGAGGAAGATTAAAATCTCCGTTCTTTCATTTCACACGAAGATGCTGCTGCAGATATAACCATGCGATACGATTCCGATTTGATATATTATAAAAAGGACAACACGCCTTAGGATGTGTATAGAAGGGTATAGCCACATACGAACAGATAAAAGCCAACCCAGCTCAGCGACTCCAAAGAAGAAGAGAATGAAGAAACAACACCTAGCTATGAGAGAAGAAGGAACAAAACAAGAGCAATCCGAAAAAAAAAACATGGGTGTCTAATATCCTCTACTCCAGCTGGGCTTTCTCGAACCGTTCGCTTTGTTGCCAGTTGCTTTGCTCAAACAGCCATAATGGACAACTGTGTTATCCGTCAACACGGCCACGACGCTACCGCCCATTCTCATCCCACCAGCCAATTTCTTGTGGCACACGACGCAATGCCTCTCGTCAGTGATGACGACATGGCGATTCCGGCCGCCCTGCCCTCCGGGTTTACCGTCGCCTAGCTGCAATTCCGCGGCGACGGATATGCCTTCGGCTTTGCGCAAGCCGGCCATTATGCGAGATTCGTTGACGAGGCTGTTTGCTGCACGTATTCTCCCGCGGAAATAGGCTTCGAGGGAGCCGACGGGGAGATCATCGGGGATCAACCCAAGTGTTGATGTGGCAGGGAGGCGAGAGCCGTGCTTGGAGAGCAGGTCCAGAGCTGGCTCGAGGTTTGGTTTGTGGGGCGGAGGTGGTTGAAGATAGAGAGACAGTAGCGTGTGATATACAGATGATGCTGACTCGTCGGGGTCATCTGAAGGGGTTGTAGATGAGGCCTGAGATCTATGTGCACGATTACAATAGCTAGATAAAGTCAGCTACAGTCCCGATGGATAACGATAGAGCGTTCTGGCGACGTACTCTTCTGCTTTGACATAGTCCTTCATCTTGAAAACATAGATCTCTAGAGATTGTCGGTGCTGCCCCATATTGCTTAATACAACAGCTTGAGCTTCGTAAAAAGCGGCATCTATATGACATTAACACATTGGCATTGCTTGACTCTAGCTGGCAAATTGCGAAAGTTTCTCTTACCATCTTTAGGAATCAAAGCAAATGCCTTTGTAAGACTGTACACTTGTCGAGACTCCCGCAGGAACTTGACAAATCGTTCCTCAAGATCGTCCCAATCATGACCCCTTTCACTGTTACTCAGGCCGGAAACATAGAGTTCGACTAATCGGTTGTGGAAATCCGCCGTGGTATCATCAAGTTCCATAATGATATGTTCCAAGTATTGCCTCTCAAGCTTCGGGTCAAGGTCTCGGAGGTAAGGCAAAACTTTCTCAGCAGGTAGAGTTTCCGCATTCTCTGTATCACCGATGAAAATATCCATTGCAAACTCCGGGTTCGCCTTTAAAGTCCACTCGGCATGCTCAAGGATGAGATCGATTTCCGAAGGCGGGAGACTCTGGAGATACTGTATGGTGCGATCCGGGCCGTGTAGAGTTGGGGCTGTTTCATTTGGCTTTGGAGCAGCGCCGAACTGATGCAACAACTGCAGTGCTGACTTGTGCAGCTTCTTGCCATGGAAGAAGTCGATCAGCTCCGTGTAGCGGTTGTGCTCCAGTAGCTTTTCGTTTACCACGTCCGGATCGCAAAAGTTGGGAATACGAAATAGCGAGCCGGCAAGAGACGGTTGCGAGAACATGTAGGCGCGAAAGAGCGTGGTATCGACCAAGCGGAAAATGTCGCGCAGCTTTTGCTCCCGCTCATTGTCAGATTCATCAGGCGTAATCTTCAGAAGCCTGTCTTCAGCCTCCGCCGTTGAGCTAGGCTGATCCACCCGCGGCTTCAGTTTGCCGGTGACCGGATCAATAACACGCTGAAGGCGAGCTCGAGTGCCGGCAAGATAACTGTTTAGCTCCAAGACGGCCCTTGTAAGATCTCTGCCCTCAAGTGGCTTGTCCTCCGATGCTGGTGCGTCTCTGGCGTTGTCCGAGTCTTCTGTTTCGCCGTCCTTTTTCGTCGAGATGATTGAAGCGACGTCAGTTGGTTTCTTTTGGGCTCCCTTGAAGTACTTCACAAAACCTCCAACTGTGGGAGACTGAGACTCGGCATGATCGCCTGTAGTAATTTCTGGGCTATTCGGCCTTGTACCATTGGTCTTTCTCACCTGGGTGTCCGCATTCTCTTGGCCCACCTGACAATTTGCCCACCTAGACAGCTCTCCCGCAATAAGAGGTGGATACATTCTCAGAACTCGCTCGGGCGGAGCATGAACATCGTCTTCGTTCATCAAGTCCATCGACTGTCGGAACTTCTTTTGCTTAAAGAGGCTTTCTGCCTTTAGCATCTTGACCTCTCGGAGAGTTTCTTTCTTATTTCTCAAAAGAGCATCTTCAAGCATTTGCAACACACTGATAGCTTCGTCAAATCTGCCAGCCTCAATAAGCTCTCCGATCTGAGAGTCATAGTCTGTAGCTCCCATTTTCCACACGCAGCGATCACTGGAAATGTGGAATCCTTTGCCGGCATGGGCCAGGCTCGAAGTAGGCGGGGGAAAATGAAGCTGAGCAGCACCGGGCAGTTGAATAGTCTGCATGAGAGACAAAGTATCAGGGTTCCGAACTTCGAGTGAGCCTTTAGAGGGAGGCTGCAGAGCCACAATGTACGGATACGAATATCCGATAGATTCGGGTGCAGTTTGCCACGGTATTTGCCTCTTCTCCAAGGCCTTGCCCTCGTCGTTGACAAAGAGCGTATTGATGTCCTTGGCAAGGAGCATTTCGCCATCAGCCAACTTGGCGGCTAGAGGTTTGGGAATGTAGCTTCCAAGGCCCATGTACCCCATCCCTGCGCTGCTCACAGCTCCAAATCGGCTTCCTTGGCCCGACACTCCCACCGCACCCGGGCTCACAATGTCCTCGACCTCTTGCGTCACGGCATCGACAATGACATACCCACTATTCATGCCACAGACAATCTTCGTCGCACTCGCCCATGTTATTGATCGAATAGACTCGGAAAGCACCACTTCGGAGACGTCGTTGTTGAGCTCGCTCTCATGCCAGCTCCATAATAGCAGTCGCCGCTTGACGGCAACCGCTAGTCGGCTGATGATTTCGGGGATGCCAGTGTCGGGATCCCGAACGATATTGGACGTGATGGCAAAGCAGGACGCATTCTTGGTTCGCGAGAGGGTCTCGATGAGATCGTAGGATTGTAGGTCGTGGAGAGATACGTGGTAGTTGGATAGTGAAACGATGGTGTTTGCCTCTTTTACGATTGCCAGCTGTTCTATCGCCCGCGTCGAGAATCGTTCTATCTCGCGAAGTAAGTCTGTCGGCTTGGCGGCCGAGTCCGCGGCAGGATGGTCGCCATTCTGAGGAGGAGTCGCATTTGCGGTGAGTGGAGGCGTTGAAGCGCCGTTAGCGGGAAGTTCGTTGAGGCGGTAGACCCGAAGAGCGCCGTTGTTGAGCCCAACGAGAATTCGATCACCTGTGAAGTTGGTCAGAGGCCGTCCGAAGAGCAGGAGAGCGCATCAATGAAAACGTTTGTCCTTACCGTGAGCGATGATCGTCTCAATCTTCGATTTGTCCCGCTGTCGGAGCTCTATGATAGGGCGAGCTGTAAAGGCGGAGAGCATGGCGTCGGCCAGCTCCAGGGAACGAATCGCTATCTTTTCGAGATGAGCATCAGAAGACCGTCGATTTGATTCGCTACTGCTGATTTTCTACAACGTCGGGATCTGAATTCTTGCGACAGAAGCTGTTGGGCCTAAGGATGGCATTCTTGCCTGAACAGGCGCTGGAGCTATTCACGTCAGGTTGCACTATCTTATCCCAACGACGTCAGGGTACTTCCGTTTCAGCTTAGCTGCGACACAGTGCACAATGACTTAAACACTGTTACTAGCTCTAAGACACCAACAGTAGCATAATCGATCTACGCGGTAGACATGTAGTTATAACTCTGATTCTGAAAATGAATTCTGAAAATGAACATCGAAAATCCATTATAGACTGTTTATTTTCTCGCAATGCTTTACAAATTCAAACCACATATACCTCATATGCCATACGCACAAAATCCAACTTCTATATGCTCCATTCGCCCCATCAAACATACAAAATCACACACCTCTCAGCGAGCTACCAGCTTAGTCCAAACCTGCCACTTCCATAATACCATATCCAAGTGTTACTACAACAACCAAGGTAAGCAAACTGCTTGGAACACCTCTGCTGATAAAGTGTTTCACGCTCAGGTAGCGTTGACCGGTAGCGTCTTCTTTCATGATTGCAGCTACAAGGACAAAGTTAGCACCTATCCTCTTACATAGGAAAATTGTAAAAGACTTACTCATATTGGGGAAACCGCTGGTAGGCAGACCCATGGCAGCGCTGCACATCAGAACGCCACCCATAACAAGGAGGTTGGGGTGCGGCTGGTCCATGGCCACGCCCACATCGTACACCAGAGGCAGGAAGATGAGGGCTGCTACCGTGTGGCTGATGAAGGTGGCAATGACGAGAATCAAAGAGGAGAACACAACCAAAACACCGTATAAGCTCATGCCCTCGACCTCGCGTGAGACAATCTCGGCAAGGGTATGGAGCAGGCCTGAAGATCGGACAGCCTTACCGAGCGACAGACCGCCCGCAGCCAGGATGATGATTGTCCAGGGAAAGTTGTTGAAGTCCTCTTTTGTCAAGATGCCGATGCCAAAGAAGAGCACAATGGGAATGATGGCTACAACGCCCATGTCTCCAAATACGTCCTCCAGGGTATGGCTAGTACACCATAAAACGATGGTGATGATGGTAACGATTGCTACAAACCACTGACCACCGCTAAATTTCTCCTTAAGAGGGCGGATGGGTGCGATGGTTGTTCCCTTGCCAGGCTGAAATGTGACCAGCAGAAGTAACCAGATCAAGATAAGAGAGACGATGCCAACGGGAATAACAATGAAGAACCATTGCAGCCAGGTAGGCTCTGGCTTCATGATTCCCATTGCCACGACGTTTTGGGGTGATGCAATTGGTGACAGCATGCCACCAATGTTTGAAGCAAGGGCAATGCCAATAATCACAGCCTTGGACATGTTTGAGTCGGAAGGCAGAGTTCGCAGCATAGGCTATAAAAACAAATTAGACGTGTTACTTTAAAAAGTCAGTATCATTGCCAAACGTACCTCAATAATGGAGAAACAGAGAACCGGGGCAGCCACGTTGCTGATGAGCATAGACGCAAAGGCAGCGACAAACATGTTTGCAAGCAACACAGTTCTGGGCTGAGTGCCGGCTTTGCTCAAGATGAGCGTCGCAAGGCGCTTATCGATCTTGCACTTGGACAGGGCAGCAGCGAGGGTAAAGCCACCAAGGAGTAGCATAATGACAGGCGACCACATGGCGGAGAAGATGGCCGAAGTAGCTTCCTTTGAAGAAAGGCGCTTTTGAGGCTTGCTGGGGTCCTCTTCACGAACCACTCTGAGGACAACAGCCAAGAAGGGGATGAGAAGAGACGTTACGAACAAGGGGATAGTCTGCAGCAGTGGTTAGCGAGAAAGCTTTCGAAATTGACATTGTATGGTTTAATAATACCTCAGTAGCCCACAGAAGACTGACAAAAACAAGAAGTGCCAGGCAATTCTGCTGCTCAGGGTTCTGCAAAATGGGAATAAACAGCAGCAGGAAGAATGCCAGAACAGATATGAACAAAGTGAGCACAGAGCTGTTGGACAGCCACGAAGGCAGAACAATTCTGCCAATGGGTGTTTTGATCTGTGTTTCTGCTGGTCCAATCTCATCATCACCCTGCAACCTCTTGGGTGTGATACCCGAGTCCTGTCCCAGCAAGGTTTGGCCAATTCTGGCAGCCTCTCCTCTTCGCTCGATACCAATCAGATCTCTCCATACAGTGTTTCGCTCCCAAACGACGTGCTCTCGAAGGTGAGAACGCAAGTCCTTTCTAGCAAGTTCCAGATCACCAGCGGTTACGACATCGGCGTAAGCGGCTTCCATCTTGGCAATGTTTTCTTCGAGCAGCTTCTTGGTCTCCGGCTTGAAGGGGTATGCCGTATCGACATAGGTGCTCATGTAGGATGATCGCAACTCTTTATCAAGAATCTTGTCGAATTTCTTGAGAACCTTGCTAAAGCCGGTCTTGTTAAGCTGTGCGTATGATTTGAGCTCGCAAAGCTGCACATAGAGGGCCACTATGCGCTTCTTCAGCATGATAGCGGACGAGTACAGCGTCGAGCCGAAGAGGAAAGATTGATCGCCATAGTCATCTATGGTGGTGCTGTACCTCCTGGATCGACCAAACTCCGAAGATGCAGCCATGTCTGGGATGCTGGATGCAGTCTTTCTCCGGCCATATCTACTGCCGCTTTTGCGTCTCGTGAGACCGGTGGTTTCGTCATCGTCGGTAGCGCTGTCATCGTCGTCGGAGCCACGGCTGTGCAGGCTAGTAGGTCGAGCGTGGGTGCTTTGAGAATCGGATGGCGTTGGGCGCAAGGTAGTGGATCCTTCCAGAGAAGGGCCCTCTCCCACATCATGCAGCAGCTGGCTCACTTCTTCTAGCAGTTCTCCTTCCTTGAGAGAGTAGAAGGAGCATATCTTTTCCAGCTCAATGCCTAGTGCTTTGCTAAAGACTTCCTCTGGATCCTCGGTTGATATAAGGGGTCGTGATTCAGCATCGCCGGCTCTCGCCTGATGTGCAGTCTTTTCGAGTTGGTATATACTAAAGACATGGCAGGGCTGGTTAGTTGACGCGTTTGGCTGATATTCAATCTGGCGGAGGGCTCCTCACAGCTTCTTGAGATTGCTGTACGCAATATAGTGGCTGCTCCAATCAGGAACAGCGTTGAACTGAATGCTATGAGAGAACTTCATCTCGTCCCGTGTCTCTAGCCACTCTCGCTTCAACGTCCGTTTCTCTTGTCGTCGACGCTCGCGGTCTTCAGTAGCCTTGCGCTCTGCAATCTCTTTATAGTCAGAGAGCTCGTAGGTATTGTCGTTGTCGCGTGGTCGATCAGGAGGTGTCAGGTCTGGCGTTGGGATCGAAGAATTGGTGGATGACGAGGCGCTGTTGACATACAATTGTACGCTCCCTCCTCGCTCGCGGCCAACGGCTGAGCGTGTATTGACGTTACTAGAAGATGCTGTCTGGTCTGTAACAGGAACAGAGGAGGAGGGATTGCCCGGCCGCTCCAGGGACTGAATGGTGATTGACTGAGGTGTGGTGCAGGCTTCGTCGGCGCCGATGGATGGACTGCAATGGGGTCTCGTGGCTATCGATAGGTTGACATGGAAACCCTCAGCCAGGCGTCGTCAGTCAAGCCCTGGGCGATACCAATGGAACTTTACGATGGCCTAGCCTCTGCCTAGCCCGCTCTTCGGATCTCTCGAGTCAAGCATTGGCGTAATGGCGACTGCGGCGCTATCGGGACGCTCCAGAAAAAGCAGCAAGGTTGCACCCATTACACACAATCAATCAGCGCGCTGTGACTGGCTCAGGGGGGAAGCATGTGACCTGCAGCTGACAGCCCTGCGCTAAAGAGACCGCTGTGCAAAACGGTAACGGTTCAGGCTGCGCTGCAGGGAGGGCGGGCGGCAGAGGCCGGAGCGCATCCGCTACACGGCGGCCTAGCGACGCTCCTTTCCAGCGGCCCATGCACGCTACAGGCCTTTACAGCGTTCGATGCATCCACTATCGCTACCGCAATGCAGGGCAGGCTGTCCGGCTGTCAGGCTACCTCATATTCGGCAGAGCCACACCTCCATGATTCGTCACATCCCACCTCCGCGGCGTGAGGGGGCGGGCAGATGACTTGCTCTTGAGACCTCCATCTCCAACAATGATGGCGATGGTGCGTATTGCTAGGAGCTGTTGATTTAGCTATATATTCCCCCCATTGGAACCCGCCTACAGCCTCTCGATCTTCCACGTGTGGGAATTGCGTCCAGCTATTGGTTGATGTAATACAGATTCTATTAGTGCTTGTATATTCTATTCTATTCATCCCGAACTCTACCGCCGAATCACGCCAACTTCAGTCTCCTATCCCAGCATCTGCTGCAGCGCGTTAATCCTATACGACTCACTTCTCTCCACAAGCTCCTCGTGACGACCCTTATCGACCACTCTCCCGGCCTCGACGACGAAGATCACGTCAGCTTTGCGGACGGTGTGTAGCCTATGGGTTATGGCAATGACGGTAATGCCTCTGGCTGCCTGCTCCAGGCCTTCTTGCAGAGCCCTCTCGCTCTCTGCGTCGAGGGCGCTGGTACTCTCGTCGAGCAACAGAAGCCGTGGTTTTCGGACTAGCGCCCTCGCAATAGCCAACCGTTGACGCTGGCCTCCCGACAACCGAGATCCGTTGGGGCCGCATTCCGTATCATAGCCATTCGGTAGTGCTACGATGGTGTCATGGATATTAGCCAGCTTGCAGGCCTCTTCGATTTCCGCATCGGTGGCTTCGTGACCTGGCACAGCACCGAGTCCCACATTGAACTTGACAGTTCCATCAAACAGGGCACAGTCTTGTGGCACTACGGCAATGTCATGGCGAAAGTCCACGCCTTCACGAGCACAGATGTCGACTCCATCAATCTCGACCGTTCCACTTGTAGGGCGATACATCCTCTGGACAAGTGACATGATTGTGGATTTACCCGCTCCCGATGGACCCACGAGACCACAAAACTGGCCAGCTGGTATCGTGAATGATGTATTCTTCAGAATCTGGATATGTGGCCGAGCAGGATATGCGAAGGATACATCTCGGAAAGTCACGGTGGCGCCACCATGGCCTGGCTTGATCCCTCGGCTTAAAATTGCGTTTGGTGCAGCTTCAACATCTTTCTCTCCGCGTGATACATTGCCAGTTCTAGACTCTGTCACACCCAGGCGCTTGGCAGAGCCAAGGTTGATGAGACTCAGGATTCTAGATGCTGCTGCTCTGGACCGCGAGACCTCAGGAGCCAATGTGAACATCTGGCCCCACAGCTGGGCACTCACAAGCATGGCCATGAGAATAATGAAGAACTGAGCTTGGCTGTACTCTCCTTTTGTGATCCTTGTTGAACCCCACCAGTACGCAAAGGCGTAAATGAGGTTGCCGATGCTGTTGGCGATGGCAAGCCAAAAGTTGGTATACGCACTGGACAGAGCCATTTCCTTCTGAGGAGCTTTGAGAGCTCGACGGTATGTGTGTAGTATTTCATCTTCAATAGCCAATGATGACACGGTCTTATACGAAGTGACAGCCTCGACCGTAATACCGAGAGCGTTTGAGAATGCTCCGGCATGCTTGCGCTCAAAGCGGGACAAGGAACGTACTTGCATGATACCCGAGCCCAAAAGGATAGGGACCGTTACCAAGCACACAATGGCAATTTTCCAGGCAATTATATGTGAAAGAATGATGGCGATGAAAAAGTTGACCACAATGGAGAACATGGTTCCCATGATCGACCCGCTGAAACCACCAACGGCGGCAGCGTCTGCTGTGACGATGGAGAGCAATGACGCTGGCGAACGGCCCTCTGACTGATGCCAGTCTAGCTCTTGTTCGTAGAGCGAGCGGAAGGTTAGCACGCGAATATTGTAGAGCAGCTTTTCAGCGACATAACCGAAGCCGAACCAGCTTCCCGTGTAGGCAAACAGCTCGACCACGGCCAGCATAAAGAACAGGCCGCCAAAGAACCTGCCAGCCCATAGAATTTGATGAGTTGAGTTGCAGGGGCCGACTTTCTCGACAGTATTGCCAAAAATGACACCTGCAGAGGAGAAAGTACCGCCGACGATGACGGCAGAGAAAACGGCCAAGAGGAGCATCAGGAGGTGTGGGCGAAGCATGAGGCCAAACATCTTGATAATTTTCCAGGCTGACAGATCAGCATCCAGTGCTTTATCCTCTGCTTCGGCGGCCGCCTGGCTAGGTTCTTGCTCAGTTGACGAAGAAACACCTGGTACGTCTTCTTCTAGGGCAGTAGGCTCGCTCAGAGAAGATTCCTTTTCTGAGAGAACGATTTCAGTTTCGCCTTTGGTTGTGCTAGACAGAGATGGTGTGTCATCCTGTTCCTTGGACGCCAGGTTTTGTAAACGGACCATGCCAGCATATGAACCATCAAGGGCCATGAGCTCTAAATGAGTGCCCTGCTCAATGATTTGGCCGTTATTCATAACGATGATATTGTCGGCATTTTTAATAGTGGACAAGCGGTGGGCGATGGCGATGATGGTTCGGCCCTTGGATATCGACTCAACTGCCGTCTGGATACGCTGCTCGCTGGCTGAATCAAGAGATGCGGTCGCTTCGTCCAAGAGAAGAATCTTTGGGTCTCGGATTAAAGCGCGAGCAAATGCAAGCCTTTGGCGCTGTCCTCCACTGACAAGCTTTCCTGCTGTACCAACAAGGGTTCCGTATCCATATTCAAGCTTGTGAATGAAGTTTGATGCGTCGGCCAGAGCGGCCGATTGGCAACTCAATTTCACGAGCTCGGCCATATCAGAACCGTACGCCTGAGCGACAGTGGTTAAATCTTGTCCTTCTCTAACCTTCTCTGCCACCTCGGCAAGTCCATTGCCCAGAATGATGGACTGGAACTTTTCATGCTTCTGCCACGGCGAGTTGAATAGACCTAATGCGATATTCTCCAAGATTGACCGATCCAGCAGCGACGGCTCCTGTTGAACCAAGCTGATGAAGCTTCTCAAGTTTTTCACGTTTATATCCTTCAAATCGTGTCCGTCAAGCAGCACTTTCCCATCCTGAGGGTCATAGATTCTTGTCGTCAAGCCGGCCACTGTAGACTTGCCACTTCCAGACAGTCCAACTATCGCAGTATACTTGCCAGCAGGACAGTCGAACGAAACATTTTTGAGCACAAGCTGATCTGGCCTGGAGGCATAAGCGAACGAGACGTCGCGGAATGAAATGGAGGCGGGGGCAGAATCAGGAAGTTTCAAGCCGGAAGTCGATCTGGAGTTGATTGCGGCTGGAGTTTCGATGTCTTGTCGCAGTTTCAGGAATGCTGTGGACGCACCCCCTATGAGAGGCAGAAGGGGGGCAATGGAGCCAAAAACGACACATGCTGCGATGAATATTGTTAGAGGAAAGACATGTCAAGGGTTACTATCATCGATCTCTAAAACTTACCATCGACAAGGAGGAAGATGACAGTATAAATCTCTCCTACTGATACACCGTTGGGATTGGCGATAGTATTGACAATCTGGTGGCTTCCCTGCCAAAAGGACAATGCATTTGCAGCATACGCAATGAAATAGAGAGTGCCGGCCTGAACCGCCGCAGCAAAGGCCTTTTTTATGCCCCTTTTCTGAGCCGTCATGACATGTGAAGAAAATTTGGCCTCTAGACGTGGTCCAGCGCTAAAGGCTTGGACAACGGCAATATTCGACAGAGTTTCCTGAGCGATGGAGGACGCCGAGCCAATTGCATCAGACATGGCACTGGTATACTTTGCGGTAAAGGCACTTCCAAGCCCTGCCATGAGGAAGAAGGCAGGGATAAGAGACAGAAGAATGGCAGCAAGCCTCCAGTTCTTGATAAAGGCCACAATGTAGGCCGTCAGGAAAAAGGACGTGCAGGCGATGCAGATGCCGACCTTTTCTGACGTTCCAGACTGGACAGCCTGTACATCGGCATTGAGACGAGACGACAGTTCGCCCGCTTGACGCTTGTCGTAAAAGGTCGCGTCCTGTTGCAGGAGTGCTTGAAAGTAGCGGTCTCGGATACGGGCTTCGAGTCGGCGGCTGAAGATGCTCCAGCACACAATGTAGATGTAAATCAGGACGAAGCTGGCAATGCCGATGTACGTCAGCTCGAGCACCTTGCTATCGATTGAGTGCTGGATGTGTGCAGCCTCGTCCGCGCTGGGGCTCTTGGCATCGCAGCTCGCAGTGTTCAAGTCGTCGACGAGCTGACCAAAGAGGATTCCCATGAGAGGAAATGGGACTCCTGCGGCGGCGGCAGAGACTGTGCCTACAGCAAGAAGAAGGATATCGAGCCATGTAGGGTTGGCGTAGACGAGAAGCTGGAAATATGTGAAGAAATCCGAAAAGAACTATATGATGCAGCTTCGTTAGGCGCGAGTTGGGTAAGTTTCTTTATGATAAATGATAGGTATCACTGACCCTTCCAACCTTTGACTGGTCTTTCTTTGTGTTGGAGATTGATTCTACAGCTTCGCTGCCAGCTTGAGGCGCCATGACAGCTTCAGTCGCAGCATGGACGCTTGCTGTCTCGTCCTGAGTGCCCATTGCTGGCGAGTCGTGGATGTGTCGATGGTTATCCCACAAGCCGCACGCTCACACGACCAAGATCGAGCACATGAAGAAAGGATCAAAGGGTCTATCAAAGGTAGAATTGCCGTCCAATCTGCTTAGATTCCGGCAGTTGGGTCAATGTTCCGTCCAGCTCTAGCTCTCCCCCACTTGCATGATCGGCAAACAGCTGGGATGTTGATTCCGGCTTGACTGACTACTGAGAACGCGCAACTACGCTGTCCTCTTTTTTTATCCCCTCCCTGGCAAGTATCAATCCACAGGAACTTTGCAGCGCCGCCCAAGCATGAATTCTTGATGGGCCACCAGGGCCTCTCCCATTGTCGCTCCCTCGCTTCTGCTTCTGGGCTGCCGTTTAGTGTGCTCCATATTGCCTGCTTGGCCTGAACGAATACGTGTAGGTGCCATCATGTCACTGAGGACCGGCAGTATCCACTGCTGCTGGGATGTCGTGAGAATGAGAGACGGCAAAAGAGCAGCGCAAGTACCGTTTTGTTGCTCAGATGTTCCTCGACGCTCCAAGAGACACGCCCCTACTCTGCCCCGCCGCCTTGTACCTCTACATTGCTGCATTGGTTCCCCACTGCTTTTCGGATCAGATAATTCCTCTCGGCAGAATTCCCCACTGCACGCGTCCGACGATCGGCTCAGGTTAGCTTGCTTGTGGAAAAAACAATCACGAAGACTTGGCAGAGAAATAGGAATTGCGTAAGTGAAATGGCTTAGAAGGGGAAATAGGAAAAAATCCCTCTTTTCAGGGGTTCTTTTTGGCTCTTCTCGGTCATTCAGTCACCCGCGCCCTTGCTTTTTTGCTCGGTCTTCGAGGTGGACCGTTCGGCTTCCGTGCAAGCTCGTGGGGCCGGCGTTTTGATATTCTCACGGCCTCGGCCTCGGATCTGATAAGATTTCTTGAGAGAGACGCAGACGCCCTTCCACATGTATATGGGGTTTTCGGGGAATTGCAAAGCCACCTACCAGATATAAACTAGAAGGCCCTTTTTTGCGTACTTGGTATTACACCCCCTTTGGAGGATGGCTTTGAACGCTGCAGATCCTGATGCTCTCTCTGATGGGGCCCGCTGCAGACTGGACCTTGGCAATAGGCGGTACTTCGTGCTAGGCCGAATAGAAGGGCAGTAATGCAAGTGAGCGACAAATAACGACACATAATGAATTACGCAGTGCCGTTAGCCGCACTGAAATCGCAAAGTCCCTGTATCGGCGCCTTCTCTGCTCGGGCAGCTCGTCGGCACATCGCGGCTCAGCTGCTCTCGCCGTCTAAGCCGTCCATCCGCTGGCGCACCACCGTCTGCATCAGCAATCCGCCTCTTGCATCTTCTATTACTCAGATAAACAGCAGCCGTCTGAGCCTGAGTTTCCCAAGCGCTGTCCAGCATCAGCTCCAGCTCCAGCTCCGTCCTATTCACAGCTCCTCTTCTCGTCAGTTTGCTTCTGAAAGCTCTGCCATTCCACATCAGACCACTATGGGCTCAATTCCAGATTCTGCCCCTGTCGTCAGGGTCTTCATTGCGGGTGGCTCCTATGCTGGTCTCTCTGCGGCCGTCAATCTGCTCGATCTGGGCGATGGCCTGTCACCACGCATGGCACACGAGCGATACCAGCACCACCCTAGCGTGCCCAAGGTGAAGTTTCATATCACCATTGCGGATGAGCGAGATGGTTACTGTAAGTATTTCCACTCTATGGCGTGTTGTTGTATCTAACAATAGCCTCGTAGATCACTTGATTGGATCACCACTAGCCCTGGCGGATTCTGAATATGCAAAGAAAGCCTGGGTCAAATTCCAAGATATCCCCGGCCTGCAGCTCCCCAACGTCAAATTCGTCCAGGGCTCGGTGTCCAGCGTAGACTGTGAAGCCAAAACAGCTACCGTCGTCGACTCTATCACCAAAGAAACCATCACTCACCAGTACGACTACTTCGTCACTGCCACCGGCCTGAGAAGAGTATGGCCCGTGGTACCTCAGTCTTTGACTCGGAAGCAGTACCTCATCGAGGTTGAAGAGCAAATTAGTGCTCTTGACGGTGCAAGAGATGGCGTTGTCATTGTCGGAGGCGGGGCTTGCGGCATCGAGATGGCTGCCGAGTTGAAGCTCGTGAAGCCTCATCTCCAGGTGACGCTGGTTCATTCGCGGGACAAGCTCATGTCGTCTGAGCCACTTCCGGATGAGTGCAAAGACAAATCCTTGGAAATGGTCAAGGAGGCTGGCGTCGAGGTATTGATGAACCATCGGCTGGCCAGCTCCAATAAGGTCGTAGCCCCTGACGGTGCGTCAAAATATGAAGTTGAGTTTACAAATGGACACAAAATGGCTGCGAGCCAAGTCATCATGGCTCTTTCTAAAAGCATTTCGACGGCTTCATATCTACCATCATCGGCTACCGATTCCGACGGGCTCGTCAAAATTATACCAAAGTAAGAATTTCCTGCCCTATGTACATGTCACGGGGAGAATTTAGCATAACTAACACCCCTGCTCTTCCTTAGCATGAGCTTCGAGACTGGCACTCCCAACGCCGCATCGCACTTTTGCGCCGGCGACGTGACCAAATGGTCAGGCATCAAGCGCTGCGGCGCCGCCATGCACGGCGGGCATTACATCGCCTACAACATTCACCAGAGCGTTCTGAAGCAAGTTGTTGCTGATCACCAACCAAAGTTTCAAGAGCTACAGGAGATACCACCCATGATCGGCCTAGCGGTGGGCAAGAATGCTGTTGCGTATGGGCCTGACGTTGGTGTTGTTACCGGACCCGAAGTAATGGAGGCGTATTTCAGGGATGATTTGGGCTGGGCTAGTAAGTTATCCGCATGACTCGAAATATTTCTTACCTTGTGTTGTTTTACCAACGTGCTAATTGGATGGTGTTATAGTTTGCTGGAATTACATGCAGCTGGGGAACCAAGGACCTGATGTCAAGACACTGGAGACAAAGTCTTCTTAGTTAGTACTGGAGGCCACGAATTTAGATATGGATGGATGAGAGGGTACATCGGCGTTTGAGGAGTTTACATACAGATTTAGATGCAGCACTTATATACATAGATTATAGAATAAGGGCGCTTGTACGTTTTATAAGCGTCTTCATCTATGCACTGACCTAGCCTGTCTTCGGTGATCTTCTGCATACCTAAGGTATGTAGTGGCAGCTGCCGCAATCCGTTCAATGTCAATGAGCCTTCTCAACCCCTTTTCACACGGCAATCTCGAACGCGCAATAGATAGATTTGGCACTTCGCTTGTCTACTTGGGACTTTGACATTTGGAGCTTATCGGAATATATTATACTATTCTCATTAGTTAGACTAATCTATGGCACTACAGAATAAGAAAACCCTGTAGACACAAAGTCCCACCACCATCTATCTATCTTATCATAAACAATACTTTAAAAGACAGTTCCCTTGACCTGCTTGTGCTTTCTCACATCAATATCCCGCCACATCATTGTACCAACCACTGCCAACGACAAGACGGCAGTAGCCGCAATCAGCATCATCTTCTGACTATCGCCATAGGCCTTTTGGATAGCGATACGAGCGGGAGATCCCATCGGATAAGACAACTGGGCCTCCAAGCTGCCGTAGATGGTTGTGAGATTTCCTAGCTCGGACTCTGGGAGATATGCAGCGAGCTTCTTGGGGAAGACGGCCTGCCAGACAGCAGCTGATACGGTCAGTCCGATGGCGCCACCGATGGACGAAGCCATGGCCTCTATGGCAAGCACTACAGCAACATATTGATGAGAGGTTGCTGCCATGACGGCCGTTTGTTCGCAGATGACAATGGTGCCACCAGCAAAGGCAATAAAGATCTGGCACATGATAATGTAGCCTGCGATAAAGAGCCACAGATTAGCGAAAGTTGCCTGAAATAGTTTTAAGAAACTCAGCTGCTTACCGATGTTGACGTCTGGCTGGCGGAAATGAATCATCAAACCGACTCCAAGAATAGTGACGGGGACTCCAAAATAGAGACAGACAGCCTTGAACTTTCCGGTATAGCGAATGATGAGGCCAACTAGGATAGCCCAGAAGCAAGATCTATCCAGGAGTTAGCCATGCGAATACACATACGAAGGACATCCTTTCGCTTCTTACCCCACACTATATATTTGGGCCACATAGCTGGATTCGGTGACATCGAGGCCGTTTACCACCTGGAGGAAGCTGAGGAAGTAGCTGTCCCATATGTAGTAGCTGACAAAGACAGAAGCCGCCAAGATATTGGCGCCGATGACAGTGCGGTCCATGAGAAGCGAGTAGGGGATAAAGGTGATGGGCGCAAAGAATCTCTCCCAAATGCCAAACACGATAAGTGCAACCACTCCTCCGACCAAAAGTCCGATAATGAGGGACGATTTCCATCCATCTTCCTGGTATGAATAGATGTTGAAAGGCAAAAGGAACATGGCCAGTCCACCGGATAGAATGAGCAGGCCAATGATATCAAACTCTCGGCCGTAGTGGATCACAGTCTCGTAAAAATTACCTACTCTCTCTCGCGGACGAATCACACCAAGCTTTTTTGCCTTTTTGTTATAGTACATGAAGAGGAAGAAAAGTGGCGAGGTGATGACCGGAGTGATGATGGCAAAAGACCCAAAGCCCCAGCGGAAACCGGGGCCCTCAAGGAAAGCTTGTGAGATGGGGCCAGAAAGCCATGTCGTGATGATATAAGGCGAGCTGCTGTATGCGAAAATGAGACCTCTTTTGACAATCTTTGTTAGCTAGATCTCATATATGAACAAACATGGGCAGAATAGAATTAAACTAACCGATTACGCAGAGAAGTCGTATCAGCGAGGAAAATGGATAGCGCGTAATCCAATCCATTGTAGCCAACCCAGTAAAACACCTGCGCAGCGGCATAGGTTTCAACATTCTTGCAGGCTGCCATCATGATCAATCCCAGAGTCGTGAACATGATGGAGATCAAGTAACCCTGTGGGCGACCAAAGATGTCCAGAATCTTGGCAAGAGTCAACTTCCAGACGCCTCCTATGATGCTGCTGATTACATTGACCGTGGGAGTAAGAGAGTGCTCCTGAAAAGCGGATGTGACCCAAGGCGTGAGTGTACCAGTTGCACCTTGCTGCATAGTGTCGACAAAGTAAATAACCCAGATCATGGCAAAGGCGGTGTACAGCGCATGCTTTGTCCAGACGGACGTGATGGCTTCGATGTTCTGCACACCGGCCTGAGCAGAGGAGTTGATGCCATCATCCAGGTCCGAGTCTTGAGGGCCGCCGATGTTGATGTCGGGATTGTCTTTTCCAGACTCTCCTCCATCGAGGTGGCCATGCTTGGAATCATCGATAGTAGCCATGACTTGAACAAATACAGTGTTAGTGGTGCACCATATGACGATGAGTCTTGTATTACCATGCTCCAGGGAAGCTATATGCGAATGAAGCTCAAAAGAAGAGAAAACGCGCGATTACTTACTGGATCCGTAGCTTGCAACTTGAGAGCTTGACAACCAGCGTCCCTAACCAGCGAGCAGTTGGGATAAGGCTGCTACTTATCGCCTCAAAAACGACGTGGGAAAAGCAGAAGCTGAAGGCTGAAGAGTTCTAGATTTGCCGCCGACAAGGGTGACAAAATAGACCGAATGTGAGGGTGGTCGCTTGCGACACTAGTCGTGGCTACCTCCAAGTTCCAATATTATGGGCCACCTCCCAGCTGCTAAGATGTAGCAATCGCCGTTGAAATGGAACGGTTGACGCCAGTAGCAATTAGTAGAGAGGAGAATTTGCAGCCACCGGCGTCTACTTGGGAGCCACTTGATCACTCGGTAAGCATGATAGACCAAAGGCCTGCTTCTTCTGTGTGGCGGTTTCGGGATGTGGCGGTTGAATCGAGCTGGTACCGATCTCAACATACTACTACGTGGAGCAGTACGACGAGCTGTGAGATACGCTTGCCTCTCAATGCTAGTACTATATTGCGTATTCATCCCAAGGGCTCCATTCTTATCGGTTCTCCGGCAGAGTCTGTTGGCCAGGCTATTGTTTTGTAATGTCACACTAATAGAGAGACCCATGGCGGTTTTTTGCCGTAAAAGTGCCGTTTAGTTATTGCAATATGGATACTCTGAATAGTTGCAATGATCAAAATCTGATAGTGCGATGACGATGGAGATGATATCCCGGAAAAATACTGGCTCGTCGATCAAAGAGGGACCGTAAACAATTTGATTGTTACCCACTTGAGTAACTAGCTAATAATTCTTCAAAGAAGTGTCTGCCTGACATTGTCTAGTAAGGCACGAGTAGCTGTATAGTAGGTATTACTGTCGTAACCGTATAGTATGTAAACTGACAACGGCCAAGAAGTGCTATTTGTTCTCTTTCAACGGGTATTCGGCACTTGTACTCGTACTAGTAGATCATTTGCGCGAATTCACAATCTTGGTCACGATTATCATGTGCTCGTCCAAGTACTAAACGTAATGGCGAGTGGAGAGAAAATTATCAGATCATGTACGCCCGAAGCTGGCGCTTTTAGCCGCTCCGACAACCGGACCGCATGTGGAAAGATGCTCCAATAAGGTTATCAGATCCGCCTTAGTGGCGCCGCCTTTGGGACCGGATCCAGAAGCTCCAAAAGCAGGATTGCGTTACGGAATCAAAACGTCTGAAGCTTGCGTCGTCTTTGGGCGAGCTACATGTATTGGGGGAAAGCAAAGTGCCGGAAATGGCGTGTGCGGGATGTTGACTGGAGAAGAAAATTTTGCAGAGTGGGAATATGCACTTGATGTAACCCTGTTTGGTTCGAGCGCGCGGTTGGATCAGTGGATCTAATCAATCAGTCAGGGAGATAATCTGCTCACGCTTCGGCCGTCGAGCTAAGCTGGGTTAAAACTGGCTGCGTTTTCGTGTTCTCTGCATCTTCCATGTGGGTGCTAAGCAAGGGGAGGGGTGTGAAACGACAACTAAGCCATCGCCAGCTTTGGTTGGTGTATCATGGTTGATGGCCCCAGAGGCTTTGTATCTGTACTTGATGGCCATACTCGTGCCTTGCCAAAGGCTATGAGAATACTTGGACCTGGATACGCATTGCGTGCTGATCACTTGCAGATCCGTCCTCTCTTACGATGATGGAGAAAAAGAGGTCCAATGGTCCGGCACGAAGTTAACTTGTAGCAGTATGGTCTCTGTTCATGTCTGCTCTAACTGAGAAAGGGCTGGTAAACTGGGCACGAAGCGGAAAAGCACGGAGTCCTTTTCTCACTGTTGAAGTAGCAAGAGCCGAGGCCTCTTGGCATGTAGCATTAGTTGTTCCCTGATACGTCTTTTTGCTTGGAGTGGCAGTTCTTGGTATATTCCATCTTATCAGATTGTTCTTACATACCTTCTCCTCTTTTATTATCAATCTACCAATACACCATCATTGGTTGCAGCAGTATTTACATTTCTTCATTGTTTCTCCGGTTGTTCTTCTTCATACTAAGTTTCCCATCTCTTAATTTGTAAAGCTGGGCTACACAATGGCTGCTTCCCTTTCTTCAATACCCCCTGACCAGACGGTCATCAAGCTTCCGCATCCCTACCACACCGAGTACTCTGTCCAAAAAGCCTCGTCACAGCATAATGGACACGGTAATGCGGAAAGTTATCGATTGAGTATTAAGCCCAATGTCTCGTCGGGAAAGAAGCCTCCGGTTGAGCTTCATACATCCAAAGCTGTCTTCACTGAGCCAATTGATCTCAAGTCAAGTGAGCTGCCACCGCACTCCAACAACAGCGCATGGGCTCGCGCCAGACGATCGCCAGGCGCAAGTATATCATGGGATGGCCTAACAGAGCGTCCCACGTTGGCGCAGGCGTGGATGATTCTCTACGTGTTATTCACAACGCGGCCTTCTACAGAGTCACTCAGACTGGAGCTCAGGGGCGCAAATGCCATTGTGCTGGGACAGCAGCTGAAAGATGTCGCCCTCGCCGTTGATCATCCACTGCGCCCTCGAGAGAAGCCAGGCCCATTGACAACTACGGATACAGATGTTGTCTTGGCTCTGCGGGCTACTTTCTGGCAAGGCGCCGGATCTCCTTTTGGCCCTCGACCTGTTTGGTGCCCCGAAGAGTCTCCGTCGTCTCTGCCAGCATCCAATCCGCTGAAGTCTTATCCCATGACTCCCCTTCAGCATACGATGACCATTACGTCGGCGGGCGACCCCCAAGATCCGGAGCGAAGCCAGCAGACGTGGCATCCCATTCGACCCGCCAAGCCAGCTCCAGGCGCTGTCATATACAGCCGATGGATCCCCCATTTGCAAGAAACATTCTCGATGGTATCGCTTGACTGGCAAGACGCCGAGCATCTGAGGCTATTCCACGAGTGGCAAAACGATCCTCGAGTATCGCAAGGCTGGAATGAGACGGGCACTTTGGAGCAGCATCAAGAGTATCTCCGGAAGATACACGTTGATCCTCACCAAGTTGCCGTTCTGGCTAAGTGGGATGACGAATATTTCGCCTATTTCGAGATTTACTGGGCCAAGGTATGACGAACAACTCAATTGCGAGAACTCAGAAAGAAGCATGCTAACTTGAATCCACAGGAGGATCGACTCGGTAGTTACTACGACTCTGGAGACTTCGATCGCGGTCGCCATTCCCTCGTCGGCGATGTCCGATTCAGAGGCCCGCACCGCGTGTCGGCCTGGTGGAGCAGTCTGATGCATTATCTCTATCTCGACGATCCCCGAACAATGTATGTCGTGGGCGAGCCCAAAGACAGCAACTCGACAGTCGTCATGTACGACCTCATCCACGGGTTTGGACTGGATAAGTTTGTCGATCTGCCGCATAAGCGCAGCGCATTTGTACGGTGCCACAGAGAGCGCTTCTTCCAGCTGTGTCCTCTGGGCGATAACGAAAAGGCTGTTGGTGGAATGAGGATTGGATTGGTGCCAAAGTTGTAAACGTAAAGAAGGGTACATGTAGGTAGTGGCGTTTTTGGTATCATTGTATCAGATGTAATATCCGTGTATCTAATTAAAAAAAATAAAAAAAAAATAAAGGCATATCGAACATCATGGTAATATAAAAGCTCTGAATAGCTCGAGAAAATACTGAATATCGACAATCTACAATCCACCCTATAAATACTCCATTCTGAATACTATACACTCATCTAAAGCTTAGATGTTTTCGTCATCTTGCTCAAAATCTCATCCCCCAACTTCGCCATCTCAAACTTCCGAATCTTTCCACTCCCCGTCAGAGGCACATCTGCCGGCACGCCATCGTGGCCCAGCCAGAAAACATGTGTCGGGGCCTTGTGATTGCCCAGCGTCTTGCGGACCCAATCTCTGATTTCCTGATCCGTAGGCTTGTTGTGGCCATCGCCCAGTTCGAGAAATGTCCCGACGACTTCTCCGTAGTGCTTGTTCTTAAGCCCGACGACAATGGCGCGCGAGATGGAGGGGTGGCCCATGAGGCGCTCTTCAATCTCCAAGGGGTAAATGTTCTCACCGCCCCGGATGATGATGTCTTTGAATCTGCCGGTGATGGAGCAGTAGCCATCTTCGTCAAAGACGGCCTCGTCGCCAGTGTGCAGCCACAGCACGCCCGCGGCATCTCGCACCATGGTCTCGTTGGTCTTCTCCGAGTTGTTCCAGTATCCGGCCTGTAATTGGTATCCGGCAATGCAAAGCTCTCCTCGCTCTCCAACTGGAACGATGTTGCCATCGCGATCCACGAGCTTGGCCTGCGCATGCGGCATCAGAGTGCCCACAGTAGTCAATCTCCGTGTCATGGCATCATCTGTGAAGGCATTGAAACATGTGGGCGAAGCTTCTGTAAGGCCATAGCTGCTAGTGAACTCGGTCATGCCAAAGCGATTTACCAACAGGTCCATGAGATATCGCGGAACCGGTGCACCGGCAATGATGCCCGTGCGAAGCTTGTCGCATTTGAAGTTGGGCGGAAGTTCGGCTTGGAACAGGGAATCGAACATGGCCGGTACGCCGTGGATGGCGGTGCATTCTTCGTCCGAGATGGCTTTTAGTGTAGAAGCAATGTCAAAGACCTCGGCTGCGTAGACAACTTTGCCGCCGTGGGTGATGATTGCCAAAAGCCCGAGGACAAGGCCGAAGCAGTGGAAGAGTGGTGGTGGACAGCAAAGGACGTCTTCGTGGGTGAGGCGCATTCGATCGCCAATGAATCGAGAATTATTTACCAGATTACTACAAAAAAAAAAAAAAGAGCAAATTAGCAATAGGAAAAAGAGAAGAGAAGAGAAGAGAAGAAGACTCGGCTTACTGGTGAGTGAGCATCGCCGCCTTTGGCAAGCCCGTCGTACCGCTTGTAAACTGCAGATTGACAACCTGGTGAGGCAGCACCTTGCTCATGGCTCGATGAAGCCTATCATGGTTTTTGCGAGAGCCCGACTTCACGAGCTCCTCATACGTCGTGTAAGTGCCGCTCTCCCCTCTCAAGATGACGACCTTGATCGGAGAAGCCTCATTGTGCAAATCCTGCAGCAGCCGAGTGTTGTCCGTACGGCCAATCGTCTTTGTGGTAAAGAACACTTTGCAATCCGAGAAATTGAGGCCATACTTGGCCTCGGTCGCCGTGTAAGTGTTGTTCAAGATGACAAGAATAGCGCCAATTTTGGCGACGGCGAAGAAAACTGCAGCATATTGCTCACAGTTCCCGGCCATTACGCCAACGCGGTCGCCGACGCCAATGCCCATATCCAAGAGGGATTGGGCCAGTGCTGAGCTCTGTTGGTTGAGATCATAGTATGTCCATCGTGCACCGGTCCATGGGATGATGAGACACTCTTTGGTGCCATATTGGTAGGTCTGAAGCTCCAGGAGCTCGCCTAGTGTCAGGTCGACGAGGGGAGGATCAGAGGGGCCGTGAAGGATAGAGAGTTTCTGGATGGGTGGCGTAGAGTATGGCTGAACAGCCGTTGATTGTGAAGTCATGATGGCAGATTTTGGAAGAGAAAATTGTGTGAAAAGATGGATATAATGTTGGCTTCTGTGAGGCTCTCGTCAATCACACACGGTAGTAGGCCTATAACGCATCTCTCAACTACTAGTTGACGGCCAACCTTCATGGCCAAAAGCATTGCTACATCCTGACTGTTTATCCTAGACCCACCAACGTGAATTTAGCTGCTCTTTGCTTCAGTTGATCTAGCCAAACCTAGCTTCCATGTACATCGCTTTCGTCCAAGGCATAGACCAAGCTTGAGACTGTTTCTAGGCCCAAAGGGACGAGCTGCCGGTTTTGACAGAGCCCCGTTCCGCCCTCAGAGCATCCGAGAATTGCCGAGATGAGTTTTCCAAGAGCCAAGCCCATCGGCGCGGTGTTTCTACGGTGCTTAGAGTCATAGATCCGGTAATCAGATGATCTGATAAGATTTCATCTTGGAAGGGGCATCAACAAGGTCCACTTCTCGCCATCGGAAGCCTGTAACAAACATACAGTACGCCGCTGGCAAATACCAAGTACCGAAATCGGTCTCCATCCTTGCTCTTGATGAAAATTTTTCTTATCAGATCTTGATCCTGGCTCAAAAGTCCACAGAGTAGTCGTCATTATGGGCCAAAGTATCTGTACCTGGCGGATGATGAAGACGAACTAGGGGAAGGGGTGTAGCTGCGATAGCCGGAATTGGCATGTGATGAGCATATCCATATAAGAGATGTACGAGTATGGAAATGTTGGGATGAAGATTTGTTCCAAGCTATTGCCTAATACCCAGTCAATGGATATTGCAGCAGTATCCGCAAGAAATGAGGTGATTTTAACGTGCAATTTACTCGCAATTTACTCTAGTGCGCTTGGCACCACGACTGTCCGCGGGCGTATATTGAAACTTGAGAGCACACAGAAGTACTCGAAGGTGATGTTAGCATTAAACAAGACAAAAAGTTGTTTGCTTGTTCTCATCTCGTTCTTACTCGCTTTTAAACACCCAATTGTCTCTCATTTCTTCCAAAAGGTACAGCGCAAATGCTTCAACGATCAGCGTCGGTGGAAGCCGTAGGTACAGCATCTCCTTCCTTAAAATGCCGCGTCTTGGCGTATTCGCACAGCTTCTTCCCCATTCCCCCACCTCACAAATTTCTCTCTTCTCCCCATCTCTCCACCCAGCTGCGTCATACAACACCAATCAACTGCCGATATGAAGAGAAAAAAAGTTATCAGATCGTCCCAGGCCCCATCAGAAGGACTAAAAGCACCGCAATGAACGCCCCGCCCAAGCTAGGTACTCCACTAGACTGGCTCTTTATGTTATCTGATCCGCCTTTTAGGCCGTGAGCAGGCAAAAGGTTCTTTGGACGTACCGGCAAAGTCTTTCACTATGCAAACCCCCCTCATGGTACTTTGGGCGGGACCATGAGGGTCGTGGTCCCTGTCCTGCATGCATGATAGCTGCACGCCTCGCACCCGTCATGTATTCCTACATGATCTCAAGCGTCAATTTGGAAGCTTGGGTGCATCACGGTCATTGCAATTTATCCGAAAAAGCGCAGCTTTGAATTGGCGTGAGTAATTGGTAGCAATTGGTGTGCTCAACCTGGCTCAAAGTGCGGGCATCATCGGAGATGAGAATTGGCGTCGGTTCTTGCTGAGGAGAGGGATTTGCTTGTGGCTTTGAGCCTCGGTGGCCTGCGCTATACAGCTGGTACATGAGTCCAGGCACCTTTCATTTCATTCGATGTTTACTGAATCACCAAGGGAGAGCGAGTCTTTCACATTTTACCACTGATGCAATACATTCGCAAAGTCCATCTGCCCTGATCGAAGCATAAGCAGACACCATGGCTATCGATGGAGACGCAATTGGCAACGCCAATTCGATGAATCTTCCCCCTAGTCTCGCCGCAGAAGCGATTTCAAGCATCGAAGAAGCAAGAAAAGTAGCTCCTGAGCAACAAAGTGAAGTGTCTTCAAATCAGAATGGCATCGTCAGCGATACAGACCTTCAACAGCTATGGACTTGGAATCAGCATGTGCCCTCTCTTATACCAAGCTGCATGCATGATATCATATCCGAACAAGCTCGCCAGCAGCCACACAAGATTGCAGTTGAATCGTGGGATGGGTCCTTGACATATCAGCAACTAGAACACTATTCATCACAACTTGCCAGGCAGATCCTACAGAGGAATGTAAAAGCTGGCAGCCGGATCCCACTATGTTTCGAAAAGTCCATGTGGACCGTGGTCGCCGTCCTAGCTGTCATGAAAGCAGGCACAACATTCTCTCTGACGGATCCCAGTCAGCCTGTGGCACGACTGCAGACAATTGTTGAACAGACAGGAGCAGACCTCATCATCACTTCCGTAGCCCAGAGCGAGCTTGGCAGAGAGATATCCAAACAAGGAGGCCAAGTCCTCGCAATATCCCGAGACTATTTTGCTAGCATCAAAGGGTCACAGTTAAATACCGCACTACCTCAAGTGCCCGCGGAAACGCCAATGTACGTCATTTTCACCTCTGGAAGCACAGGCAAGCCCAAGGGAGTTGTCATTACCCATGCAAATTATACCAGCGGCGCCGTTCCCCGAGCAGAAGCCGTTGGCTACAAGTCAACCTCTAGATGCTTCGATTTTCCTTCTTATGCTTTTGACGTCAGTATCGACTGTATGCTATGCACATTAGCAACTGGTGGCCAGATATGTGTGCCTTCTGAGGAAGCCAGGATGAACGATCTCAGTGGCGCCATTCGTCAGAGTAAAGCCAATATGGTTCACATGACTCCTTCGGTAGCCAGAGTCTTGGATTCCGACATTATCCCATCTCTGGACGTTTTAGGCCTGGGTGGTGAGGCAGTATCTGCAAGTGACGCAGCGGCTTGGAGTAAACACACAAGCTTAATCATTGCCTATGGGCCATCCGAGTGCACCGTCGGATGCACAATCAACAATACCGTTACCATCTCCACCGGAATCGGTAAAGGCGTTGGAGGTGTCACCTGGATTGTCGACCCCGATGACCACAACATCCTCATGCCCGTTGGAGCCGTTGGAGAGCTTATTGTCGAGGGCCCAGTTGTTGGTGTTGGCTACCTTGACGAGCCGGAAAAAACAGCAGAGGTCTTTATTGAAGATCCAACTTGGCTTAGATCTGGCTACAAGGCCTTCTCGGGCCGACCTGGCAGACTATATAAAACAGGTGATCTTGTACGATATGAAAGCAACGGCTCTGGTTCCATCGAATTTGTGGGCAGAAAAGACCAACAAGTCAAGCTTCGTGGCCAGCGAGTCGAACTTGCAGAAGTTGAGCACCACTTACGAGCCTCTCTGCCAAATGGAATCAAGGTCGCGGCAGAGGTGATAAAACCAGAGAATGGCGGTGCACCTTCTCTTGTCGCCTTTCTCTCAGAACCTGCTACCATGGGCACCGCTGGAGTAGACCCGGCCATTGTCGATCCCTCACCAGAACTGAAATCTGTTCTGGCAACAGTCAGTACTGTCATGGGATCCAGAGTCCCACGATATATGATTCCGGCGGCATTCGTCACTCTTCAACACATGCCTTCTCTGGTGTCTGGTAAAACAGACAGGAAGAAATTGCGTGAGATTGGAACATCGATACCGCGCGAGATTTTCAGCCGAATGCAAGCGACTGAAGCTCCGGAGGAAGAAGAGCCGGAAACTGAGATGGAGAAGAAACTGCAGCAAGCCTGGTTTGAAGTACTCGGATCAGATGCAAGAATATTTAGGCACAGTAACTTCTTTGCGCTAGGAGGTGATTCTTTGCGTGCCATGAGGCTTGTAGTTGCAGCTCGCGCGAACGAAATCGCATTGACGGTTGCTGATATATTCACGAATCCAACGCTGAGCCACATGGCGTCAAAAGCTACTCAGATCTCCGAGACCTCTGTGGAAGAAATCTCACCGTTCTCGCTACTGGAGAAAGATTGGGATGTCGAACACGCGAAAAATGAAATATCCGCTCTTTGCGGCGTGGAAGCTGCTATCCTAGAAGATGCGTATCCATGTACACCCCTCCAGGAAGCGCTCATGGCTCTATCGGCCAAGGTCAAAGAGGCATACGTCGCTCAGAGAGTGGTGGAGCTTCAAGACACTGCTACGGCTGAGAAGCTAATCGCAGCCTTCGACGTCGCACAACGAGAAAGCCCTATATTGCGGACGAGAATCGTGCAAGTCCCCGGACACGGTCTCATTCAGGCCGTCACAAGGGGAGAACTGAATGTCTTTTCTGGGAATCATCTTGATGAGTATCTGGTAAATGACAGGAATGACGCTATGGAACTAGGAAAGCCTCTCGTGCGCTATGCCATCATCAATGATATCACATTGGGCAGAGTGAGCTTTGTGCTCACGATTCACCATGCTCTGTATGATGGCTGGTCCATGCCCTTGGTTGTCGATCGAGTCAACAAGGCGTACGAGGGCCAAGCCGTTTCACGCCCTGCAGAATTCAAGCACTTTATCAAATATCTGGCAAATATGGAGATGGACAAGTCGGCCAATTTCTGGCGAGAACAGCTCCACGGAGCCAATCCTTCTCAGTTTCCATCTCTACCTTGGCAAGGGTATCAGCCGCAATCAGACTCGTTACTGGAGCAATATGTGCCTCTAGGAGAAGGCAATGCCTCCAATGCTACCACCGCGACGATTATCAGAGCAGCTTGGGCTCTCGTGGCATCACAATACATCGGTAACACCGACGTCATCTTTGGAGAGACGCTGACGGGTCGAAACGCACCCGTTGTCGGATCCGAAGAGATTGAAGGGCCAATGATCACCACCGTTCCCGTGCGGGTTCAAGTAGATCGAGATATACCCGTTTCAGAATATCTTCAAAGCATACAAGAGCAAATGGTAGACCAGATCCCTCACGAGCATTTTGGCTTACAGCACATACGAAGACTCAGTCCTGACGCCTTCGACGCATGTGAGCTCCGAACAGGCTTGGTGCTTCACCCAAGTGCCGAGAGTGAAGAGCCTAATCAGTTCAGCCACCTCCCAGCGAGCTGTCTTGTCCCAGCCGGAGATTCAGAAGCTGCCCAAGAGGCTCTCAAGTTCAACACGTACGCGCTGATGCTCGTCTGTTCGATTGATCCGCGGGGTTTCCTCGTTATGGCCAGCTTCGACTCCAAAACAGTATCGGTTCCTGTGATGCAACGAGTTTTAGACCAATTCCAACAAATTGCGCAGTCCTTGTGCAGAGAAAGCTCGGCTTCTCTAGGCAGTCTTCGATCACCCTTGACTGATAATGATATCCGACAGCTCCAAAACGTCATTTTCGACGCAGACTTTGGTGATGCAACAAAGGAATACTCTGGCGTTCAAGCGGCGTACATTGTGGACTTTAATGATGCAAATCAACTGATCCCCGTTTCTGCCATGGGCGAGCTTGTCATTCAATGCTCAGAGAATCCTTCTTCCAATCTAGTGGAAGTCTCTCCACCAGCTTGGCTCGAGGCAGTATTCGGCTCCAAAGTCTCTGAGCAGGGCAAACTCTACAAGACCGGGCAACTGGCCAGATACGATTCAACCCAGAAGCCGGCGCGCATCAGATTAGTCAATACGAACAGCGAAAGAAATGCCGCTGCGCCACCGGCAGGAATCTTCAAAAGCCGAATTTCTGCAAGCTCCAGCAGACAACGCAAGCTGCGTAGCCTATGGGCTCGCGTACTGCGCATGAGTGAGGACGACATCGGCCTAAATGATGGATTCTTCATTCTCGGCGGCGATTCCATTGCAGCTATGAAGCTTGTATCGGAAGCTCGGCTCGAGGGAGTCAAGTTGACTGTAGCCCAAATCTTTCAGAAGAGAACGCTATACGAAATGGCAAACGTTATGGAAGAGATGGAGGAGCCCGCTTCATCCACGGACTCCGTCGAAGACAGCAAACAATTAGAGTCATTCTCACTCCTTAGTCTAAAAAATGAAGATGAAAAGAAGCAGTTCATCACCAACATCATCACACCTCAGCTCTCCGATCCAACCTGGCACATCACCAACATCCTCCCTACACGACCCCTGCAGCAAATTGCCGTCAAGGGCACAACCCAACTCCCACGCTTCTCAGCACGATACGAACTCATGTACTTTGACAAGACCCTAGATCGTGCCAAAATGGCAGAAAGCTGCAAACAGCTCGTCGCCCGCAACGAAATCCTGCGGACAGTCTTTGCAGAGTACCAAAGCGAGAGTTACGCCGTCGTCCTCGAAGAACTCGTACCGCAAATCATCGAATACGCATTAGATAGCGATGACGACGTGGAAGCCTTCGCAAAGCAGCTCTGTCAGCTAGATGCCCTGACAAGAATGCCCCTCGGCTCGAGTTTCGTGAAGTTCTTCTTGATCGAGTCCAACAACCAGTCATGCCTCGTATTTCGCCTCTCCCACGCCCAATACGACGAAATTTGTCTCCCCATCATGCTCCAGCAGCTATCAAGCCTCTACGAAGACAAACCCATCCAAGAAACCGTCCCGTTCTCCGCCTACGTCCACAGTGTCCTGCGCCAGAACCTGCCCTCCAGCATCCCCTACTGGACTGACCTCCTCTCCGGCTCGTCCCTAACTATCCTCAAGCCAGACGACATCCCCATCCAGCGTCGCAACCACTTTGCCATCCAGCAAACAGTCGACATATCCTCGCGCCTCCGCGACATCACCGTCGCCTCCCTCCCCACCGCCGCATGGGCCCTCTGCCTCGCCCGCCGTCTCTCCCTCCGAGACGTCACATTTGGCGAAGTTGTCAGCGGCCGCAATATCGACTTCCCCTACGGTGCGGCCAACGCAGTGACGGGTCCCTGCTGGCAATACGTCCCTGTCCGCGTGCGTTTCCCCCCAGGTTGCACTGCTTTGGAGATCCTTTCTGGCGTCCAGCACCAGCACATTGCCAGCTCTGCTCACGAGGGCATGAGCCTCGCTGAGATAGCAACTCATTGCGGTTCCGACTGGCTATTAACAGCCGGCTGCAAAGCTTCCGACCTATGGTTCGACTCCGTTGTCCACCAGGACGTCGAGCACATCGAAGAACTGGCGTTTGCTGCTGCGGGAAGTGGTCGCCTAGAAACGATCTACCCCCATGAAGAGCCGCTGCGCGAGTGGAAGATTCAAGCATTTGTTCATGACAACAGTAACAAGCTGACCCTGGAGATTGTTACTTTCGAGAGCTGGGGCGGATATGCTAGAGGGTTATTGGATGATTTGGTCACTGCGGTAGGAACATTGTTGAAAGATCCTCACGCTAAGCTGTTTGGAAATGAATCTGAGTGATTCGGTGTGTATATTATTTCATATGCCTAGTATAAAGTAGAGAAAAATTGTGGCAGAGGAGAGAGCTTTCAAAAGTCAGCAATGTTATCAATATGCCATGCTCAGATACCCTAGTAGTCTTCAATGATCATCCAATGACGAAATTACTTCAAAGGTCCAACTTGGCCGTCTTTCGGCACATAATCAAGAAAAGAAAAAATTGGCTAAGTCGCGGCTTGTTATTAAGACGCTGGTGAATGTTCATTTCTCATAATCCAGAAAAAACCCGATAAACAAAAACATAGAGAGAAAAAGAAGAGAAAGAAAAAGTCTGCGATAGCCATCCAGTGCCATTTCCTCGCCAAGTAAAAACGCTGAATGGGGTATATGGGAGAGACCATCGCACGAAGCAATGTCTGTACACCGTAAACAAAAAAGCACCCAAGACTCATGATGCCAAATGGCAATTTCCAGTTTCTCAAGACGCCGCTGCCTCCCATGATGTATGATTTCCTGCGCTTGGGTCCTCGTATAACCTACGGAGACCGCCTTTTCATTGAACTTCGGATGTTGACGCAGGCAAAAATTGCCCTTCCAAACATGTCAATCAATGCTGTGGATTTGCTGATGATGTTCCCAAACCAAGAGCCTTCTGAAGACTCTTGCGAATGCCTAAACCATTCTCATCCTTGTCACGTCCTATCAGGCCAAGACTCAATCTGCGAGCGGTAACGCCAATGGAACTTGCCGCAGTCCCCGATGCCATCTTGGCCTTCTTACGCCGTCCCGCACCAACTGCAGGTTCGGGAGCCGATGGTTTGGGAGGCCACTCCCCATCACGTTTCCACCCCATAACGCAAGAGCGAATCATGTCGGACAAGTTGATGGGACACGATGGTTGCAGACTATTAAGAATGACCTTGTCGTAGAGACTTAGATAGATCGCCGGTGTAATGGACGCTCTGAAACCGTTGGTAGGCGGAAGAATCGGGTGAGGAATAGGAAGTAGTGTTTCGATAGGTAGTTGGCGGTCGGAAATTTGTTCATTATCTTTAGAACCTTGCTTGCTGAGATCCTTGTCATCTTTGACGAGCGAGGACGCGTCAGATGCTGTGCCTGAGCGGCTATCGGCGAGAGAATTAGACTTGATCAAAGCTAAGGAAGGCGGCGAGCCAGATATGGAGCGGCGGAAGAAGAAGCGGCGAGAGCGAGGAGATACTGGCGGCGAAATAACAGGTTTGCTGCGGACTCGAGCCATCTTTGCACCGGTCCAAGCATCCCGCCGTGCCTGGAAGCACGCCAGACCCTCGTTCCAAGCCATTTCATCTCGAGCAGCCCTCCGGCGCTGTGCTTTCTTCTCCAAGGCCGAAGTCCTGGCTGCACTATCGGGTCCCTCAATGACCGAAGTAATGGCAGCCTCGTCCTCAGAAAGGTCAGAATACCAGTCCATACGGGGACGGTAGTTTACGGCGGCATCTTCGGAGACGATGCTGTAGATGGAGTCGGTGTCGTCGTCGTTGTTATCTGCGTCCGGGTCGTCGTGATCTGAAGCATTGTCGCTCAATGCACTGCTGTCAACGTGGGCGTCTGCGTCGGCGCCGGCGCCGGCATCGGCATCAGCATCATCAGAAGCGTCATCTCGGATGTCTTTGGCAGAATCAACCCTGATTGCTTCCGGTTCGGATTCTTTGGCAGAGGGTTTCTTTTCCTCGTCTGTGTCACTGGGTTTCTCGGTGACTTTGGTTTTGGTTTTGCGGGGCGGTGACCATTCAAAGTTCCAGTTGTTCTTCACCTTGGCAGCCAGATATTTCTTAATGGTATCCTTTTGCCTGTACTTGTCTTTGCTAAACAGGTCTATGTATTCAGGAACAAGCCAAGGTGGTGAATTTGCCGAGGAGTGGGGACTCTGCCCACGAAGCCGAGATAAAGGTGACCGCCGCCCTTTGTAGAAGTCTGAGAAGATCATGGCAGTGTCAGGATCTGCCGTGGAGGAAAACGCTTCTGGGACAGAAAAAGCTGGCAGTGAAGAGGAGGAGTGCTGCTCTTCAGCTAATAAAGATGGTGGTAGGCGGTGGCCGAGATTTGAATCGGCAGTAAGATCTATAGCGCCTAAGAGATCGGGCAAAGAAGACGTCAGCACCTTGTTGATTTATGTTTTATCGACGATGCGGCCAAGGCTAATTTATCCAAGCGAAAGGGGAGTGGTAGCAAAAGGGTGAGACGGGGGCGGTGTAAGTGACATGGATAAGGAGCGACTAGTGGAAGCTTGTGATGGAGGCATGAGAAGTAAGTTGAAGGCGTAGCAAGTGAAGAGTATGAATGAAGCGATAGGGACTATGGAATGATGTGAGATGAGATGAGGCAAGACGGGGCAGCACGCGACAGTAAAAAACACACCAATGTCGATGCTCTCGTTGTATACGCAAGCTTCTACTAATATACGAGTAGATGCATCGCCAGAGGAGTGGCTTGAATAGCTGCCTCAGCTCGAGACTGGCTATAGAATCAAATCAGGCAAGATGAAGAAGGAGAGCAGGAGACTACCAGCTGCTCAGTAGTGGAGGAGGAAGCAATGGCAGTAAGGGATGCTGGGGGGTAAAGAAGCAAAGATGACAAGACATACAGCGATGAGATGAGTAAAGTAGAAAGAATCAATTGAAGAAGATGAAGGTTGAAGAGAGATGATTTAAGAGAGGATAGAGGGAAAGGAATAGGAATAGGAAGAGCAATAGGATTAGGAACATAGTTGGAAGGGTGATTGGATAAGGTTGGAGGCGAAGCCAAGAGTTGTCTTGACATGTACTGGCTCGTACCCAGTTCTAAGAGGAGGAGCCTCGCCATGCCAAGAGTGAATCAAAGTACCGTCAAGTACCAGCTGATGCGTGTCTCGGAAGGCGAGGAGCTTGGATGCGTGTATAGCAGCGACACATGGAGCTAGTCGTCGATACAAGCTGTTGGCCACAAATGGTGGCTGAAAAAACGCTAAAGCTAAACGGCAGCGTGTAAGGGGAGATGAAGTGAGATGACGCAGGATCAGGACGAGGAACAGGGTCTCGGGACTTGGAATGCGGGACGCTGAGCAGTGAGGGACGCTGTAACGGGCAATGTCTTGTCTTGGACTGCTGTCGTTTTTGTCTCTGGGGAATTGGGCAGATTCTCGCTCGGTGAGGCATGCAAAACTTTTTTGAGTGTGCGCGTGCCTGTGTAGACATGAATGGCTTACCGTTGAGAACTAGCCGCTCTAGGCCCTTTGCGCGGTGGTGACTGTCGTGTGCCGAGGCGGTGCCAGGCGAGGGCGAAGACGCAGAGGGCGCGCAGGTGACGGTATCGCTGGAGGACGAAGAATGAGGAGGAGAAGACGGCGATGGAATCTGCGGTGAAGTAGAAGAGGCAGAGGCAGAAGCAGAGGCTGAGGTAGACGCTGTGGCGACGACAGGCATCGCTGCTGCTGCCAGCGACGGCGGCTGCGACGACATGATGATGGCCTGCTGCATTACACAGGATTGGGCACACGAGCCACAGCCGAGAGCCAGGGTTTGCTCTGAATAGGACAGGCCAAGCCACGGACGGATAGCAGATGCAGGCTCCGCGACAGCACCAATGGCCGGGCGATCAGGCAAGACAAACGGGGGTTTGCAGCTGGAGGCCTGTCGGGGTCCGGGCATGCAAGAGATTAATCACGAGAGGTTTCAATCAGGCCAGGCCCGGGACAAGGCCAGTGCAGTCAGGCATCGACCTCCGCTATCAGGGAAAAAAAAAAGGTATTTTTCGCCCCCCAAGCTAAACGCTTGCCGGGGAGGGGAGGGGGAGAGCCACAGGGCACAAGGGCGAAAATGTTTTGTTTGCCCCGCTGGAGCTGTGAGGAGAACGCAAGCGGCAGCAGGCAAAAGAGGGGGAGGCGGTGATAGTGCGCGACCTGTAATGCGCCGTCGATTGCGTCTACAGTGAATGTATCCCGCCATCAGATCAGCTCCAGCTGCCCGTCCTGGGGCTGCCCTCGTAAGTTGGTGCTAAGGTGCGTCGACGCCGCCATCACGAACCATCGACAGGCAATCGGCAGTGGGGCCAGCAGGGCTGGACATCGTGTGACCCGGCTGTTGAATTTTCATCGGGCGCTAGCACGTCTTATTTGATCTGATTTCTTTTTTATCTTGTCTTTATGCGAATTGTTGCAATTACACACAGCAGTGGTTGTTTCGGACGGGCGGTAATGAAATAGGCCGGGATTCTCCGTGTTATTTCGTGCCTTGTATGACGGCACAGCATGGCACCACCCCAATCTGTTTGGTGATCGGCGCATTGGGTAGTCGACCTACCTTAAGTTCGTAGCCAATTTGACATCACGGGACTGGCGACTGAGTACTACTAGGTCGCCTACAGTAGCATTTTCTTGGTCTGATCTGACCTGGCCTGATTCTGGCCGTCCGTATCCGGCAATAAATCACTTCCCCTTCTGCTCACCTTCCTTTCCGTGAAGGACAGGCACAGGGTCGATGGCAAGTCAATGCCCGAGTCAAGATACCTGCTGCTGCATCAATAGTGACATGCAGCACCACCACCTCTTGCATTGTCGTCACCGCATCAACAACGGATTGGAACTGTACTGCAGCACTCGTAAGCGGAGCGAGGCATCGACTCGAGCTCGAGCCCGCATAGCCCCAGCCCCGATGGCAACAAACGCTCCATCAAGAACGCGATTTGTCAGTTTGCCTCTCTCTCGTCAGCATCTTTTCCCTTTGTAAATAACATCAATTACACTGCACTGCAACTCTGCACGGAGGCAACCCCGAGATCCGAATTGGTGCTGTGCTTGCATAATTGCCCAGTAAGCGTGAGTCACCAGCTTGCAGCTCCCACGACTCGACCACGGTCCTACGCGTACAGGCTACTCATGGCCGCTGGAAAGTTCCATACGTCGTACAGGTCAACGGAACTTTGCGCTCACCGCGTTGCTGCAAGCGCAAGCACATGCACATGCACATGCACATGCACTTGAAATGATGAAATTTCACCAAACCCGCCCGGAATGCTATGAGTCCCCCTGCAGGACGCCCAGCTAGGTACCGCTGCAGATTGGCTTCTCTCGGCACTCGTTTCTGCTTACGATGAGATTGCTTCTTGGCGGTACAAGTACACGTATCGCATCGTATCGTATTCCTAATAGGTACCAGCTCCACGGATCCCGCGGGCCTCAAGATGACATGAGCTCAGCCACTCAACAGCCTGCCGGGCCTTATCAGGACAACATGGTGATAACCGAGGAGCTGACTGCTCCGCTTTCCCCAGATAAAACAAACTCAATCAATGTAAAATTTGCGGAGTGAGAATAACCTTATTGAACACGCAGCTGTTGGGGGAAATGGCATTGGAGTGTTTGCTGATTAGAGTTTCACTATGTAAATGGACCTTATGTACTATACAAACTTGATGCTTTGATGAATTAACTACATAGAGTCAACACGATCAATCTCCTATTTGCAACAGCAGCCCGTCGAGGCTACCTACTCTAGACAGCATGAACCCAGCTGATCGTCGGTCTGCTGGGCTTACTTAAGACAACATGAACGCATTTGGTGAGCAGCTTGCCGAGTTTACTCGAGGCTATCTCGCAATGTTATCAGCAGCTCGCTGCAACCCTTTATAGACATCTAGAATATCTAGGAGGAGATGAAGGAGATAAGCTTCCATTTTACTTTAGAAGACAACTATAAAGCGCACACGGCTATGTATGCTTCAGATAAAATAGACTCAGCTAACTGATAGCCTGGCGAGCTATCTCCACAAGAGTGAACGCGTATTGGAGTTTCACATTCGTCAGTAGAGCTGATCGTCTTCGATCCCCTAACTCGTTCCTGATTAATGAAAACATTCTTGCATTTTATCAGCGGCATGCTGGGTCTTCTCAAGGCAGCACTACCATTGACCGGAACACATTTGCTACGCTTCCCCAAAAGACATTTGCTACGCTTCGCTCTTTCATTCAGAACACAATTATTCAGAACACGCCGACGACTGAATCAAAACACATTTGCTACGACTAGCCAGAACACACTTGTTCCTATTGACGAGAAGACCCTCTTAATCACTCGTAAGAATACACTTTTTACTATTGGTCATCTCCTTGCTCAAATGGTTCATCGAGTCAGCAACATGTCTGCAAATCCGGCTGGATTCAACCTGTAGTATACACTCCATTCCCCTGCTGGCCCTTCCCAAAGCCGCAGGGCGACCGTCGAGGATCCCGCCGCTCCATTCTCGGAAGAAGAGATCAACTCTTTCCGTGCGGGACTTGACGAGACTTTTCGCATGTTCATCAACTCATTGGGTCCGCGGCCTACCCCGGTGACCCCAGAGCACATGAACTGGGCATTGCAGCAGGTTGTCGAACCTCTTCCGGATATCAGACTCACTGTTGGTATGATGACTACATCGCATTCTCGGGAAGCGATAGAGTGAATGCCTTGGATGTTGAGTTTGCGCCTTACAATATGCGGATCATCACTCGAGAGCCTGGCCAGATGGCTCAAGAGTACTTCCTCTTGAGTTAGAGGAGTGGCCAGGTCCTGGGTTTGTACTCTGCTGCCTGAAGAAAAGTCAGCAGGCCTGGTATAGAGTGTCAAGTGGGTGCTCTCAGTAGAGTCTGCCCTGATTTGCATTTGCTGCATTAACCACAATACACGATCTATCATTCATTAGCTTTTTATTCTCTTCTTTGACACACACGCTTTGCTACGCTAGAACATATTTGCTATGCTTGTTCAGGCTACACATCATCTTTCATCAGAACTCGCCGCTCTGAATACCAGTCCAGTACATCTTTCCCTTCAAAGAGACTATCAGAGAAGATTGAACAGCTCTTCCTAGACTCAACAGCCAAAAAAAGCGAAGCCAATCCTTCGTCCCAGCTAAAAGCCCTACCCTCGACAGCACTAGACTCAATAACGCAATCCCTCGCATCTTCCTTTCTGGAGCCATTTCGGTACGTATTTGCTACCATTAGCCAGCACACATTTTCTACCACCAATCCAATGGCACATCAACTCGATCGCCTTACTGGGCAATCAGCTGCTCCTCTCGCCGAAGAGGAGATAAGCTCCTGGAACGCAGGCAGCAGCTTGCACCAAAAAAAAAAAAAAAAAAAAAAGGGACCGGAGAAACTATCAGCACACAGAAATTCGCCACACGCACATCTCATAGGCTTAATATCGACGATAGTAGTGCTTATATTATCCTTAAATGTGTGTATATTCATTATGCGGTCCCTATTTCTTTTTTGCAAACAGCTTGGTAGGACCTGCCGAGATTGCCCAACTTATGGTTAACTCGTTAGGTCCACCGCCTATTGGGGTGAATCAACAAGCTTGGGCCGACCAGCAACTCGTCGAGCCCTTTCCTGGCGTCTTTGTCTCCATTACCAGGATCGCTGCTCCGATTACCGAGGAGGAAACAGCCTTCTTGAACGCGAAGGTGGCCGAGTCTGCGCCGCTCAACGCTCAGACCATCACCGCACAGCCTACATGTAGCCAGCGTCTCGGCGTCCTCGGCGCCATTGGCATCTCTTCGGCACGCAAACACTCGTGGTCGGCTGCAACGGCACCTAACATGAGTCTTATCGGTGCTCCAAATTTACCGAGACTGCTCGAGTTGCCATGAACTCATTGATTCATTCCGCAGGCTGCTGGGATGAGTCAACAAGGCCACCTACACCAGACATATCGGTAACTGCTTTCTTCTATAGCGGCTACTTATATCTATAGCGACTGCTTTCTTTTATACCAGCTACTTGCTTCTGTAGCGAGATCATACCAATCTTTACCTGTAGGTAGAAAACAAAGCGTTCTCCTATCCCAAGTGCATCCAGAGTTTGTCAGACCGTCGTATAGCAATAGGCCGCTTTCGTCAAACAGTGAGACTTAGAGGAGTAATACATATCTTTTACAATGTAGAAAAAGAAACACCACAATGAGCAGTCTGCTGAACATACAGTATACACGTAGTACTATGACAACATAAACTCAGCTCAGCTTATAGCCGTGCCTTATGCCAAGCTAGACGCAGCCACGCCCGCCACCCAAAGTCGTGAGCATCACAACAGCCCAAGCGATGGCCCTAGTCCCACTGTAGGCCTCTTCCGGGTCCCGACAAGCTTCAAGCTCTCGTGGTCCAGATAAGCATCCATGCTATCCTAACAAGCCCGGGCGGCTAGCGATAGCTCTACGCTGCCTCATCACCCAACGGTCTCCCCTCCCTCAGCTTTAGGGCTCTCCACTCCTCTTCCGTCTTCCCCGCATTTGAGAAGGGACAAAAACGAGGCAGGGAGAGAAAAAGGGTAATGCTGGTGTGCCAAGCCTAGCAGCCTCTCAGAGCTAGCAGATGCTAGTTTGAGAGCATGTGCTCTAAAAGTCTGCATTGCCGTTCTCAGCAGCGGCCAGCATATGGGCGGCTCTGCTCGACAGAGCCTCTTCTCTGCTCGACAGAGCCTCTTCTCTGCTCCCATGAATTCTACGAGTAGTGTACAAGTACTTGTAGGGGCTAGCGCCTAGGATGGACTTTGAACAACGGAGCCGCCAATGCTGCCAATACTGTCAATACTACTCATGTACCGTATACTGCAGGTAATAATGGGAAAATAGCTACGGTGTAAGAAGCGGTATGTGTAAGCGGGGGTGCCATTGCCCATGGAACAGAAAAGAAATCAACAGCAGAGCCTGTCTCGCGCCGTCCACCTCGTAAGCAGCCTTGAATCATGAACCACTCACCAAGACCCCTCAACTCCGCGTCGACGCCGTCCACAGCCCAAGCTTGGATCCTGGATTCTCCGCACTTGCAGTAGCTCGTCCTCTCCTGTGAGGGGCAAATATTGAGGCAACACGTGCCCTGTCTTTTGATGTCGCACGTGTCCAGGTACATCATGGCTGTGAATAAGAGTCCGAAGGAGAGGAAAAGAAAAAATTAATAAATCTGTCTGTGGAACTTGAGCTCCGAATAGACTGATAAGTGGCAAAAGATTAAGATGATACCTTAGGTACTTGCATGGAGCGCAAAAGTACATGCGGCTACATCCAGCCTTGGCAGATAGAGCTGGTTCTTGGCGAAAAGCTTCCTCGCAGCCTGCGCCTCCACCCATTCATGGCTCGCCAGCTAAGATTAATGAGACTAGTATAGTGCCTAGGATTGCACGTACCTATACGATAAACGATGAGAATGAAAAATGACAATTGAGTGCCACCTAAATTCAATGAGGTCGTCAACGCAAAGGAGATATTACAAGCGATGAGGAAAGACGGGGAATCTGTCATTTGTGTACACACAAAGGTGTAAACATGTGCACATAGGCGTTGCCAATGGTTAGCGTAGTCCGTGTTCTTTCTATTTGTCTGTAGGCAAGGCTACTGCTACTACTACTAGAAAGACCCTGACGTGGTATGAAGATCTTACGGCAGAAGATCGAGAATGGAGGCGGCTAGAAAAGATTTTCGTGCAAAATTTCAGGAACCCCGATCCTGCATTGCACATTGGCTTGATGGCGCAAGTCCACACATTTGGAAAAAATAAAGGAGAATGCTTGGCTCACTACCAAGAGAGAATGTAGAGAAGTTGTATCACCAACTGAGACCCGAGGGCTGCTAGACCCTGCTATTTCGATTTTTCTTGCAATTCATGGATAAAGAAAAAGATTTGCGACCACAGGAAAGAATTGCCAATCGGCTTTTTGCAGTGGGTAAATGAGAAGCAGAATTCGCCTCAATGTAACTATTCTGGAAGATGTCGCCACGGCATGAGGTACTGCTGCTATAGTTGGGATGCTGGATAACATCAACTTTTCCCCATTTTGGATAAAACGTGGAGATTTCGAGAAAGTGAAGGTTCTCAAGCCGTTGCTTGGTAGGTGAATTGGCAAAACCCCCTCAGCTTCAGTTTCACCATTGGTAGCTTTAAGAAAGAATAGATACCGGCAACAGTAGCGTTGAATCTTTTCGTGAATACCTACTCAGAAGAAGATCTCGGCTGAAGAAGACATATAAGGACCGCTCCTCTAGGTATAATAGCTACCTGTACATGTAGTTGGATTCTGAGGCTAATGAGGCTATGCAGCCGCTGATCTTCGCTGACAACAACGACCGAGGTGCATTGACACCGAGCTTTAACATCTCATCTAACTATAATGAAGAGGCAAAGAACATGAGAAAAGAAGAAAAGAAGCGAAAAAAGAGATACTCAAGCAGATGTATGAAATAATATATTATCATGAAATAAAATAAGTAGAAATGTGTCCATGTCTTCTAAATCAACCGACTTTACAGCTCCAAATCGGCGCAAGCATCACAATGATTGAAAGGAGAGGAATTCTTCAACATGCGCTTTCACGAATCTTTTTTTTATACCCTATCTAAAGAAAACCAACCGCTTTTTTCCAACTGCAGTAACCACGCTTTATGCACCAAAAGGTACATTTACCAAAGCAAACCTTCCAAATTTGTAGGTAGGTAACCAAATCAATACCCAGTATTCGTACAATCCATCCAAGCAATATACAATTCATACAACCCATCCAAGCAATATCCAAATCGTACAATCCATCCAAACAACATCCAATTCGTACTGTACAATCAAACTCAATATCCATCCATCCATCCACCCTTCCATCCACCGAAGCAATCCCCCTTGATTCAATCCGTCTTCATTGAAAATGCGCTGTTTGCTCAGATGCATTACCAGACTGTTTATTGGAAACTGGAGTCTGAAGGGGTGCAGGTCGGGGAATAGGAGCCCGGACAGGAGCTTGGAGGTTTGAGGTTCGTCTCCTAGCACCTTCCAAGTCCTCTCCTAGCAGTACACGCCACTGACCGTCAGAGCACTTGTAAGACTCAAACTGGGTGCCGTAGCAGTCTACCAAGGTTCGTTGCGTGCCCCTTAGGTACCATTGGGGTGCGTTCATCTGCTGAGATCGCTGGGTAGGCTGAAAAGGCTGGGCAGGCTGGAAAGGCTGTCCAGAGATGAATTGCATGTTTTGTTGCTCATAGTCGACATTGAAGCCGTTCATTCCATCTATCATATTAGGAGATAGGGAAGCAGGCTGGGGAGGCTGTCCAGAGATAAACGGCATGTTTTGTTGCGCATAGTCGACGTTAAAGGCGTTCATCCCATCCATCATATCGGGAGATAGGGAAGCAGGCTCAGAAAGCATGTTTTGTTGCGCATAGTCGACGTTGAAGGCGTTCAACCCATCCATCATATCAGGAGATAGGGACGCAGGCTCAGAAGGCTCTCCAGAGATAAGCTGCATGTTTCGTGGCGCATACTCGACATTAAAGGCGTTCATCCTATCTATCATATCGGGAGATAGGGAAGTGGCCATCATTCCGATGGTCATTCTCATGCCTGGAAGAGGTTCCACAACCTGCTGAAATGCCCAGTTAATGTATTCTTCTGTGGTCATTTCAGCTGGTTGTGGACCTAACGAGTTGATAAACGCCCACACAGTCTCGTCAAGCCCTGTGCGGAAGGAGTTGATCTCCTCTGGGGAGAATGGAGCGGCCAGGTCGTCGAGTGTCACCCTGCGGCCTTGAGAAGGGCTAGCAGGTGTTTGATTTGCGTACTCCGGGTTGAGTCCACCTGGATTCGCAGCAGGGTCGTTGAAATGGTAAGCCATTTGGGTTAGAAGCTGGCTGTTGATGTGGTATGGTATGATTCTAGTTGAATTGTAAGTGATGGCTCTGGTTAGCCGCAGCGAGTATGTTCTAGCTAACCGTAGCAAGTGAATTCAAATTCAAAAATCAGATAGCGTGTTCTGGCGAATGATAGAGCGTAGAACGCGGTCAAGCTTAGCAATTGTATGATAGCGAAGCGAAGCGTATGTGATGAAGAATAAAAGAAAGAAGAGAGAGAGAGAATAAAAGTAAACAAGATAAACAAAGTAAACAAGAGAAGAAGGGATATCCTGCAAAACAGACAAAAGCGCCGAAGCCACGTCCTTGACTTCAAACTTTGACTTCAGCCTTGTTTTCGTCTGATATACGTACAAGCACTCAACTTCAGTCACATGTGAAGCTGTGCCGAAGTTACCAACGAGCGTTGTGCGGCCATGTACATTTATCTGCCAGCTGGCGGACCAAAAGAGAGCCTGCAGCGATGCATTCCTATAGGCCTCGTCGCTCGATTATCTCTTTAGATCTCGAGTTCTGGCAAAATATTCATGGTGATATGAGTGACTGCCTCTTTGTTGTCTTTCTATCAAGGTCCCTGGTGGCTGTCCACGATGCGCGTTGCCATCGTGATGTGAAGCCGTCAACGCCACCAGCCGCTCAATCCCCATATACCTACAGTACACAAACGGAATGTTCCAAAGCTTTCGAAAGTTTCATAGGATGAATGCGGTTATCTGCTAACAGTAAATAAATCACCGCTGTAAGACTACACATAGAATTTCCCTGGATATAGCAAGTTGTAGGTAATCGACCCCCTGGATTAGGTTTCAAAGTTACCGACCAACAAACCAGCGGCGGGCGAAATATATCCAGTGTTCCAATATGGATGTTCAGACACTTGTACAAAAGCATATCCACAAAACATATAGAGTCAATGATTCATAGCCTGTTCTATTGCTGCCTGCTGCTATTCGGCTCGGTTGTGGGAAATCCTTAAGGGGGGGAGGAATACACCATACACTGACTTTGGTGCTTTTAGTACGGAGATCAGCTCGATGTTTTCTTTCCACCGCATACTCTTTCAGATAAGCTTCACAGACGTCCTGTAGGCGATGAGCTCAACCTAATTCACCATGCTGTGTGTTGCATCTGATACATACCCATCTTTAAGTAGCTTTATTCTAGTCCACCACTGAGAAGCTAAGAGGGAGGAGTACATATAATGCAACCAAATACTGGGCACCAGTTGAGAGGTATCAGCGTTCAAAATGCTTTATTATCGTCCTATAATTACCAAAACTCTAATTGTTACTACTTCCAGCCACGTCCATAAATCCAAATGCCCACTCACTCCAGTACCTCCGAGGGTCATTGACCGAAAATTGTAAACTACCTACTCAAGTACACAAAAAGTCTTAAAGCTAAGCGTTTCCCCTAGCGACGAAGGGCTTCAAAACAAAATCGAATTTTCTTAAAATCTTGTTCTGGGCCGATTCTCTAAGCCACCTCTGTCACTAACTTTGGTGGTGCCGCCGATGGCTGCCCGGTCTTGTTGCCAAAAAGGGTACCCGACGGCCCGCCGACAATCTCGTCGGGTACGGCAATTCGGTTACCGCTCTTATTGCTAACCCAGCGGATGAAGACAGGGTCGGGTTTTTGCGCATTCTGATCCTGTGAGTCAGCGGCGGCAGCGGCTTTACGATTGATCTTTGGAGCTTGCTTCTTCAGAAGCTTGTTGATGGTTTCCATCTGTAGAGTAGTGGGTTAGCAACAGTGCGATACAAAAGTAAATTATGTTTGTTAATATACATATATACATGCATGCATGTATGTATATCAACAAACATCAGAGCAGATATCCGCCACTTACTTTGACTTCCTCATTGCGCTTCTCACTGAGGTTCCGTCGTCTTCTAGCCATCTCCTGACGACGCATAGATAATTCTTCTGCAGTAAACACTTTCTTGACTTGAATCTCTGTAAGAAAAGTAAGCAAGTGCACTTTCATAAAGAGAAACCGCCTGCATTCTGTCTCTCATACAGATGTGCAGACACGCGGAAAAGACCTACCATCCGGCAACTTCATAAACTCTTGTGGTACATCCTCGAACCGGGCCCTCTGTCGTTTGGTCATTTTAGCGAGATCTGGTGTCTCGGCCCGGCTACCCTCCTCGCTATCGAGATCTGAATCGCCGCCATTGGCACCTGGCGCCATGGTCATCTCATCATCCTCCTCCTCTTCTTCTTCTTCTTCTACCTCCTCCTCCTCCTCTTCTTCCATGTCGTCCTCATCGCCAGCAACCTCAATCTCTTCGCCCTCGGCATCCTCATCATCTCCCATTGTCCGATCACCGTACACGATAGTATCATCGCCAATTTCACTGTCTGCTGGCTCACTAAGCTCATCGTCATCCTCGTCATCTTCGTCCTCATCTCGATTAGCCCTGGAATTAGTGACCTTGACCGTTGGCCTAGGCTTCGTAGATCTTGAGTTCTTTGCAGAGGGGCGTCCAGCCGCTTTGGGCGCCACGTCTATGTCATCTTCACCTTCCGCATCAACGTCCATCTCATCCTCGCCTTCGGCATCTTCATCGCCGAGCTCTTCCATCTCATCGTCGTCATCTGCTCTCGCGTCGTCATCGTCTTCGTCGTCCTCATCGTCGTCTTCTTCTTCAACCTCCACTTCCTCCTCCTCTTCCTCTTCTTCATCATCAGGGCTTGAGTCAATTACATAACTCTTCTTGGCGCCACGGTTACGCTTCCCGTGCACTATTTCGCCGCCCTCAAAGGCATCAACCCCCCGGCGGTTGCCTCCTCTGGTGCTCTGGCGTGGTTTGCTGGAGGGGAGCTTCACTGTAACGCTGGAATGGGTCTCTTCTGGCGATGAGGCCGTATCGCGCGAGGCAGCGCCCCGTCCGGTGCGTCGTGATGACATGGTAGTTCCTGCGTCTTCCTTTTCGCTCATGTCAGCCCATCTGGCGTGGACTGAAATAACTTCCTTCGCCTTTGCGGCGGCTGAACGCCGTGGCCGTGAAGACATGATATGCGGCCTGCACTGGCAGATGCCTGGGGTGGTTCAATAATGTTGGGTCTGGGATTTGTCGTGTATCTTGGGCGGGGGGAATTGCGACGGTGATGGAGATGGGGAGGATGAGTCTGTTGATGATGTTTGTGCCTGAGTGACGTGCACCGGCATGTATGTACATGTAGTTGGGATAAGCTCGGGGTCTAGCCACTAAAGCAGCAGGCGTAACTGCTCTGTATTGGACGCGAGCCTCTCTCAGGCAATCTCCACGCCATGGTGCCGGCTGATCCAGGCCCCAAAACAGCAACCTCCTGGCGGCCTTGGGCCTTGGAGACGCTCTGCCTGCATTGCGCACCAACCATTGGAAGACTTTGATTCGGCATTCAGCCTTGCTGAGTGGCGCCGGCTCAAAGCAGAATGCGACGTATCAACTCTGCACTCCACGCGGTAAATTTGTGGCAGCCATCAGAATTACCAGATGAAAGCACACACCCAATCGATCATCTCCATCGCTTGAAAGAGACATTGGGATACTCAATCGTCATCAATTGCCGCGTTGATTCGAGAAGCCGCACTTGACAGCCTCCATCGGTGGAGCAATGGGACGTGCAATGATGCAGCCAAGAGTCGTGATAAAGTTCCCAATGATTCTTGGCCAATAGAGTGGTGAATGGACAATATGGACGAAACAGCAGCCAATTGAGACAGCGATGGGACTGATCAAACAAGAAAAGACGTGTGTACAAGGTACCCGGTTTGCCTCACTCACCTTCTAAGGTAGACCAGGGATGGCTGGTGATGTTGCTCTTATTGATCCCAGCAATCGCGATACGCGTGCTGCAGGCGAAGTGGTATGCGAGAGCAGGTACTCTACTTTGACGTATCAGCACTACCACCCTGGATTGGCAGCAGATATGCCGCGATCAGCGTGCAGTCGTCGTGATTTGCTCGGCTCGGACGGCCAGTGGTGGGTGCCACGAGTACGAGCAGTCGAAGCCGTTGGCTCAATGTAACGCTACAGTGTATCAAGGATGCAGAGTGGTCGGTTCTGGTGGCAGTAAAGAGTGTTGCTGCAATAATGGACCTTGCCAGGGCTCAATTCTCAAGTCGAAGACTCCGCTAGAGCAAAATTCAGAGGCGTGTCTGTTATGATCCTCAATGCGCGAATGATGAAGGGAAAGCCGCTTCGAAACTGTATCTCGATCGCCAACAGAAAGAGAAAGAATGGCCCAGTTGAGGAGAGGAGCGGAATATGTGTGTCTCCCTTCAGTAGCTCTCAACCTTCTAGATTACTTTAGGCACTCAATAATCGTATCGCAATCTCAGTCAGTTTATGGTGCTGAATGCCGCTGATGGCTCAGAGCATTGAAGTTTGCTCGCCCCTTGGGCCCACTTTTGTGACTTTTCTCAGCCTGCTCTACGCGCTGATACTTGCATCTGGGTATTATGACAATTGAGTATTAATAGATGACAATAGCTCATAAGACGTAACGATAATTTATTTAACTCATTGCTTGTAATTTATTAACATACAGGTTGATAATCTATCTAGATGCTGCATTCAACCCCATATAAATCTGCGAGTAGGTACACGAACTCTAATGGGTACCTATCTCCGCAGCAATATGTTGTCGCAAATCGCTCTTTCATGCAAATATAACAGGCTTATCATGTTATATCACAGCAAGCTTTACATCACTATAGTAAGCGTATATTATCTACTGAGTTGCACTTTTGAAATACATATCCTCCAGTACCTTGGTGATAGATCGCACTTGATGCTACGCAGTAATACCTCCAGATACGCTAAACTCCAGTTGAGGTTACTAAGCCGCGCCTCCATCACTGCGCGCCGCGTCCAGCATGTGCCGAGGCCTGTCCCAGCCGGATCTTACCCGGCCAACCGGCAATCTCCTTGGCCATCCGGGGTTGTAAACGCTGTTGATGCGCCTTCGCCTCAGCTAAAAGAACAATGTGTTGAGTTTCCGACAAGATACCAACATTCAATAATGGACGACTCAGAGGGGAAGCCGCCATCCGACAGCGTGCCCAAGTGGCAACTCAACCTCCCCGGCGATGAACCAGCAGCCGATGATGCGCCGTCACAAGCTGAAGATAATAATATCCAGTCAGACAAGCTCGAGGTCGCGAGGCGATTCCTCGAGGACGATGCAGTCAAGAGTGCGCCGCGAGAGGTCAAGATTGACTTTTTGAAGTCAAAGGGCGTTGGAGATGAGGATATCCAGTTTCTCCTGAGCGAGCCTGAAGGAGAGCCATCAGCGACGGAAGATGCAACCCCAACAGACGTAAGTAATCAAAACAGCATCCTTTCATGATCCACACGCTCACATCACGACGACGCAGGAATCCAACCAGAAAGCACTCTCCGTGCTAGAAAAATCATTCGCTCCTACACCACCACCACCGGCCGCTCCCGCGCCCCCGACGTCCATTCTCGCAGGAAGCGATCGTCCCCCCGTGGTGACATATCCCGAGTTCCTCACCAAGCCCCAAAACGATCCCCCCTTGGTCACAACAAATGGACTTCTCAACACGCTCTATGCCTTTGGCGGTCTATCCACGCTTCTCTACGGCGCCAGTAAATTCGCCGTCGAGCCAATGGTCGAGAAACAGACAAACGCGCGTATCGACCTGCACGAGACCACTTCCAAGAAGCTGGACTCTATCCTCACGCAGCTCGAAAGCACCGTCTCCGTCGTCCCGTCATACCACAAGTCTGGAGCCAATACTACTTCTTCAGAGGCTGAAGATGTCGACGACCCTTCCGAAATGTTCCACCGAGACATCGGCACGCAGACGTCCTCCCCTCTCACCTCTTCATCAAAGAGCAAAGTAGAGGCCCAGTCGAAGCTCCAAGCGGACCGTCTTTCACAGCTAGCCAAGTCCCTCACGGGGCTCACAAACGACTACAAGAAGCAAAGCACCGATTCTGAGAATGTCAAGGCTTTCTTGGACACTTTCCGCGATGAGTTGGACACCATGACATACGGCAACCAGACTGAGATATTCGGCGCCTATGATATAAACAAAAAGAAAAAGAAGAACGACGAAGACGAGATTCGAAAAGTGAGGGATAATATCAGGAGGATAAAGGGAGTTCTCTTGAGTGCGCGGACGTTTCCTACATCTGCTAGGTGAAGGATGGATGATACCTATATATTTGAGGGAATGTTTTTTTTTAAAAGTACATTAGTTGTGATTTGTTATACAGAGCATCTACTTGATAAGAGCATGTAAGGATATGATTTCAGGTAGTTAGCATAATGATATTTCCTATAGCTTATAATTACAATCTTTTCCGTCAACATTAGTGCTGCGCTCTGCCAGATGCGTATATACCGCTCTCTCCCATGCCCCATCGTGATCACTGCAAACGCATCAAATGTAGTATATAGACAAATAGAACCGAACCGAAACATCAATGCGGAAAACGGAAATCACAAATGGAAAGAACAGGAAAGACATAAGGGGGAATGAATAGCATGAAGGGGAAACCCAGAAGAAAAAAATACAAACCGCTCTATGCTCGCGATAACGGCAGACGACACAATTTCTCATCCTTTTTTGTGCAAAAACTCCTCAACTTTGTACAATTTAAATATGTCTTCCCACGGCACAACTTTGATGTGCTCAAACCCTCGTCCTTCTTCGCATTGCTCCTCGTACCAGTCCATAGTTGGCCTAAAAACATATTCAAAGCTCTTCCCTTCAAATTTAGGATCTGCTTCTCGTGCTGATTGGTATAGTCGATTTCTGCATTTTGAGTATAGCTTTTGATTGTTGCCGCTGGGAGGGTGGAAAATAATCTTTGGAGTTGAGGATGCGTCGTCTTGGGGTAATAATCTCTTCATGATATCATCCCTCATGACGATTCCGTCGCTCTTCTGATAATCCGATGGCTTCTCAGGAGTAACCAAACTCCAGCCTCTAAGAGGAAGCTCCTTGGCTGGGGCGGGTAACCAGTCTCTAACATTTCCTAGCAAACCATCAAGCCATCGCAGTGTAACGTCCACAGTACTGATACTGGCAGCGCTAGCTCCAAAAGAGCCAACCCACACTTTGTCTAAGGGGATAACATCTTTTGTTTTCCCCCGTATGCATTCAATCAACTTCTGCTGGGATTCAGTAAGATCTGAATAGCAAATGTCTTTATTCTCGCCGATCATTTCGGAATAGCGTGTGTCCCAGATGAATATCTCAGATCGTTGCCATGGCCGTATGTGCGGATTCAGTGGCCGAAATATAACGACCCATGGCGAGCGTTTGACATTGTTTACTCCACGCGACAATGCCTGCTGTTCATCAAGAGTGTAGAACAGCCCGGCATATGAATTACGGGCCGGCTTGGTCTTGCAGAGGATTTCATAGTGGTTCCAGAAATAGTTGAACCACTGATCATAGTTGTTATAATGTCTTGGGTTGATATCCCCAAGCTGAAATGCGATATCCGACGTTGAGTATCCCACTGGAAACCAGAAGAGCCTCACGGGACACCAGTCACGCCTTTGCGTCTTCGTTATGTCGGCCAAATCCAGAGCTAGCTGAGAGCTCTCGTCATCTCTATTCGATCGTTGCGACGTGGGAGACGTGGCTAGAACAGAATCAGGGGACTTTGCAAGATCTGACTCTACTCCGTCTGGATCAGCTATGATAGATTTTGAGTAGTTTGGCGCTCTTGTAATCCTCGAAAGGCGTGCCTTAGTCTGCTTGCCGGACCCTATAACGGCATATCGGCGGAACTGGTCTATATTCAGAGTAGACCAGTGTCCAAACCAATTAACCAAGCTCTGCTCGTCATTGCCATCAATCGAGTCAGGAGCCTCCACAATGAAATTCGTCCTTTCATAGGCGGCATCAAAAACGAGCTGCTGCAGAACTTTGAAAGTCTTCCATCGATATTCAAATGATTCATCCGATACACCAGCAGCTTGCAATTCCTGCTGTGAAGCCGTATCTGGTAACGTGCGTCTCGTCAACAGCTTCTCGTAGAGGAGGTTGTGCATCCATTCGTCCACTTTTGCGCATAGAACCAATTTCCTAGGTCGGCTCATATCGATCTTCTTGACGTGAATATTCCAAAACCATTTCACAAAGGTATATGCTTGCTCTGGCTCGGAGATGAGGAAGCTTGGCGTGATTAAATAGGCGGCTCCAGGGTCAAATACATGTTGAAGATGAATATCACCCAGAGGAGAGACTGGCAAGTTGTCAGGGCCAAAGATAGGGACTGGCGTCAGAGAACGGCCAAACATCCAAAAGCTGAAGCTGGCCCTGCGCATATGCAGTAGAACATGAAGCTCAGGAAATAGCCGTATGAACCAGAGACTGTCTTCGTGGATAATCACAGTCCCATGAGGTAGTTTTGAGAAGCTGGACCAATGGCCAGCGTCGAAACTGGTTCGAATATCGCTGTTACTATGGCAACTCATCACCCACCACGATAACATAACAGCCTCTTGTTTGGCACGAGGGGGGAAAGCTAGGAAAAAGTTGTACTTTTCAGCTTTTCTCGCGTCAGATGGCAGCAATTGCTCGAATTTCTCTCCGAAAACATGATCCAAGGGTCTTGGGTACGATGCTGAGTTCTTGGTATCCTTGTTTAACATTCTCAGTCGTGGGGCGGGAGCGAGCATCGATGATCCCAGGGAACTGAATGGTTCGAATATGGTATACTCCAGAGTTATCTTTCCTGAGCCTTGCGCTAGTTGGCTACTAGGAAACAGAATCACATAATAGCTTTCATTGGAACACAGTAACCCAAGATTCGCAAGTCTTAGATTCTCTGCCAAATTACTGAGGCAGCTATTTTCGGTAAAGGACAAAGCGGTACCTTTGCATAGCTGTGCCCTTGAAAAGTCAGCTCCTTTATTTACTTGATACGAAAAATCTTGAGCGGTGCAGGTATGTGTAAAGATGAGACGGTCATCAGAACTGAACTGCATGGCCCAAGGAGAGTTTGCCCTAGGAGGCACCCCTTCGAATGAGAGAGTAACAGTGTCTTGCCTGTCAGGGCCCACTTGTACAGTCTTGCTGATGGTCGTAGGATCGTTTGACTGCTCTCTATCAGCTCCAGGTTCTTCGCCTTCCGAATTTGAAGTAATCTGGGGCGTTAGAGGCAAATCATCAGACATAAAAAGACTATCATTTGGATCTATCTCCATGGCTTCGTCTTCCCAGTGAACCATGACATTCTTCTTGGGGTTGGCGCTTCCTCTGTCGGTCATTTTGCTGGTCAAGGTAATATCTGCAGCTTCCTTGGCTGCTTGTTGCCCGCCTATCGTAGATTGAGGATTATCACGATCAAGGGAGATGAGTGCAGATGGCCGAAGAGCTGGAGGTTTCAGTCCTTCCTTATCCCGACGCTGCAGCTCTATCTTTCTTGTAAGGCGTAAATTCAAAAGCCTAGGGTTCTTTTCTGGATTTGACGCTGCCTCGCTCAGCGTGCCTCTTCCTTTGCGAGTACGACCGCCAGCGAAAACATTGGCGTAGCCTGCTGACTTTGTTGGTCCTCCTGCTTGCGCCCGGCTGAGAATAGAGGATTTTCTGGGTAACTTGATAGAGAACCTTGAATGTCTAACGGGATCTTCGTCAAGGTTTTGCGTTGTGGTATTAGCCTCTTCCAGAATCGGTCTTTTATCGCTGAAGTGGATGAGAGCTGGCTTTTCCACTAGGCTCAGGGCTTCTTGTGCTTCTCCCCCTACTCCTACTCCTGCTCCTGCTCTTCCGTCAGATGTTCCAATGAGTTTTTCTCGAGAGACCCTCTCAGACGGCTTGATTGTAATTTGCGCTGAGGATTCTGAAACTCTATCCATCGGCTGATTCATAAAGGTAGAAGCCTCATCACTAACAGCGCTTTGGAGCGGGCTCTGCGTTGTGGGATTTGCTTTGGCTTCATCGTCATCGTCGTCTTCGTCATTTGCGTAGTTGTCAAGATCTCTTATAAGATGATCCAACGTTCTTGTCCATGTTGTTTGCGGTAAGCCGCGTCTCTCTCGCGCTATGTTCCGAAGACAGTGTCGGGCAAGCCGAGACTCGTAGTGCTGAATATTGGCCCTTTTCCATTCTTGGATTTTGAACCTAGGCACCAATCCTTTTCCTTGGTCTGCCTTTGTTTGCTCCCACTCAGCCATGAGTGCATCGCTTAAATTTTCTCTTGGCTCCCATGTTGCTTCTGCCAACGAGAAGTCCTGCCATTCGATCAGATAGACAGGCTCCCCATTCACTACTCTTTCGGCTAGTATCCTGGTAACAAACAAATCCTGCTCGGGAATTCCGTCATCGGTAGAAGCGATTGATATGGCATCGATGCCATCGATGCCATCATCAAGGCCTTCTTCTGATGGTCTCGACGCCATTCTGAGGATAATGCTGTGGGAAAACCATGATCCATGTGAACGGGTAGCGTGCAGCTGCTAGCTGGGCCTCAAGCTGCCTGAAGCCAACACCAAAATACTCGCACGTGATTGCAGCTGGAGACAGGTGCCACTGCCCAAAAGGTGCTCTACCTGGCGACTGATGCCAATATTCTAGCTATACGGCAGTTTTAATGTTTTTCATAATGACATACTTGCTTACAACAGATCAAACAAGTCCCGTAAAGTCAAGCGTACAAGACAAGCTGCGCGCTGGCCACTCCTAAAACGAGCTCGGATATTGTGGCTTACCCCACCACCGCTGCTAGCTCCCTAGGTATATGTAGGCAGGCAAACAGTTTGATGTTTGTGACCGCCTGAACCATGGATTCTGCGGCAGGACTCGGCTCTAGCTCTGATACTGCCTAGATAGGCTGCTAGATCGCTACATTTGTCTCCGTAGTAATATTATGCATCTCTTTGGCGCCTCTCCCGCTCAGGAGAGAAAAGGGGGGAGAATGTGTTTGTGTCTTGAATATGGGGTCCGGAGTCTCCATATGCCACTCTCAACGGTGGGCTCCTTAGTTTGTACCTAAAGGGCATTATCTGTGGTGTGGTGTAGCAGCACAAGCGCTACGGAGCACGCTCAGTGCTAACGTCTAGCATTTACAAGGCAAAGGGGGGCCAGAAAGGTACCTAAAAGGGACTTGCTAATTCGTGCTCGGCACAAAGATTTTTACGGTCGCTGCGAAGTCTCGACGATGCCACATGCCGCCTGCTAGGCCGCATTCCTCGCTGCCTTGCAGTTCGCGCCTCCTGAGCTCAAATCCAGGTGACTTAGCGAACTAGTAGGCCAATCGTCAGAGCCGCGCAGCCACTTCTTCCCCTCCACATCCACAACCTGGACACATTCCCATCGTCACAGCTTCATTCTGCAGCACACCACCAGCCTCCAGCAACGCGCCCGACAACCCTGCTGCTACCATGGCGAACGACGAGTATGATGTAGGTTCCGCTCTCTTGGATTAATGAAAGTGCACTTGGCGGAAGGCTAACGGCGATGTTTCAACCCCCACTAGTTCCTCTTCAAAGGTTTGGCTCTCCCTTGAACCACGGACCGATGGTCTACAGCGCCAGGGTGCCCGAGGATTCCAAGACGGCATTTATGCTAACGATTTGTCTTGCTGCTAGTTGTCTTGATTGGAGACTCTGGAGTCGGAAAGTCCAATCTTCTCAGCCGATTCACTCGAAACGAATTCAATCTCGACTCCAAGTCGACTATCGGTGTCGAGTTTGCCACTAGATCGATTCAGGTTGACTCCAAAACCATCAAGGCGCAGATTTGGGATACAGCCGGTCAGGAGCGTTACCGTGCCATCACTTCCGCATACTACCGAGGTGCGGTCGGCGCCCTTCTTGTTTACGACATCAGCAAGCACCAGACATACGAGAACGTTACGAGATGGCTAAAGGAGCTGCGAGATCACGCCGATGCAAACATTGTCATCATGCTGGTCGGAAACAAGAGCGATTTGAGACACCTGAGAGCTGTTCCTACAGATGAGGCCAAGGCCTTTGCTAGTTCGTCTCACGGTCTGACGTCGTTGGAGGGGCATTCGCTAACCGATTTCCATCAGGCGAGAACCACTTGTCTTTCATCGAGACATCCGCTCTCGATGCCAGCAACGTTGAGCTTGCTTTCCAGAACATTCTTACGGGTGCGATAGATGATTTCCATGCGAGAATTACGATTTCAAGACTAACAAACTCTCGTATCCAGAAATCTACCGGATCGTATCTAGCAAGGCGCTCGACAGCGGCGACGGTGCCCAAGCCACCATCGGCGCTGGCACTAACATCTCACTCAGCAAGGCTGCCGACGACGAGGCTGCCAAGAGTGGCAAGTGCTGCTAAATTACTTATGATGATGCCAACTACATGAGGAGAATTGGGAATATTGTAGTCGCATGTTTCGAAAATGTACATCGCATACCGAAAGACTTCGACGCTGTGTCGAGGAAATGAGGGGGAGGCCTGATGCTTCCTTTTTTTCTCCAATTAGAAGGGCGCAGACACTTTTGACTTTCTGTTGTTTCTGTTTGTCGCGATGGGTTTTCTGGGCTAATCTATCCGATGACTGCTACGGAATCTCTTCTTACGTAGCTACATGAATTCTTAATGAAATGATTTGTTTTTTCGAAGCCGGAAAATGATTGTTTAAGGAGCTCTTGTTAATGGGTCGTTAAAGAAAGAATGCTATGTATTTACGTGGCCACATCTCAAAGCTGGAGAAGCAAAACAGGCAGATAATACCAGGTATTAGAGGCCAAGTCATTTCTGCGGCGGTCGTCCACGGCTTGGGCGAGATCCCCCACTACAGGTACGTACTTTTCGCTCCAATAACGCTAAACCGTACCTGGACTCTCTGGCTGAAGACCCACATACATGAATTTTCTGATAAGGAAATTGATGGCTTATCGGACTCGCGCTCCTCTAAAATTTCTAGCAGTCGCCGACCGTTTTCGACGTCCACTTCAAACCACTCGAGCAATTACCTATACTCTGCCAAAATGGCGTCTGTTTACAAGTCCTTGTCGAAGAGCGGCAACGAGAAGCCCGAATCATCAAGCAATGGCGTCAAGAAAAACAAGCAGAGAGTCTTGATCTTGTCCAGCCGAGGTGTCACCTACAGGCAAGTTATGCGGCGATCGACCGACCACATTGTTATCATTATTTCTGACTCTACTTTTTGCAGGCACCGCCATCTTTTGAACGATATTGCTTCACTGCTCCCTCACAGCCGAAAGGATGCCAAATTCGACTCAAAGTCCAGGCTGGGCGAGCTCAATGAGCTGGCTGAGCTCTACAACTGCAACAACGTTCTTTTCTTCGAAGCCAGGAAGGGCAAGGATTTGTATGTGTGGTTGAGCAAAGTGCCCAATGGCCCGACTGTCAAGTTTCATCTCCAGAACCGTAAGTGCACCTCAACTGATATCATTGGGCCATACGTGAATCCTGTTCTGACAACGTTCATTCAGTGCACACAATGGAGGAGCTACACTTCACCGGCAACTGCTTAAAGGGCTCACGGCCGATCCTTTCGTTCGACGCCGCTTTTGAGACACAGCCACACTTCCGTGTCATCAAGGAGCTATTTCTTCACACCTTTGGCGTTCCTCAGGGCGCGCGAAAGTCCAAGCCTTTCATCGACCACGTCATGGGCTTCACCATTGCTGATGGAAAAATCTGGATTCGAAACTATCAAATCTCCGAGGTTGAGCAGAGCATGCTCAGAGGCAATGGCGAGGACATTATCTCTGAGCAAACCGCGACTGGCAGCTCCAAGAACACGGATATCAACCTTGTCGAGATCGGACCCCGATTTGTCCTCACCCCTCTTGTGATCCAAGAAGGCTCATTCGGTGGACCGATCATATACGAGAACAGAGAATTCGTCTCTCCAAACCAAGTTAGAGCCGATATCCGAAGGGCAAAGGCTGCGAGACACAACGCCAGAACAGAACAGACAGTCGGACGTTTGTCTAAGAAGAGTGATTTGGGTCTGCGATCCAATGGGAACCGACGGTCTAAGGATGAGCTGGATAAGTCTGCGCTGTTTGCGTAGTCGAAGACATAGCTCAGAAATGAGTGGCGGAGGAGATTCGATATCATAGCGGCATGTCTTGTACGTGGACTGCACTTTGACTTTTGGACTTGTATATACACAGGCGGCGCACAAAATGGATTGATTATATGGCACGGTAGCTTTTCGTCTTGTAAGGTTGTTTCACAACAGGCCCAGATGTGAACATGTACCGAGATTGCTTCCGTGCCAAGTCGATAATTTTAGATAGTAACTCTTCACGCATTATTGCATTGCAGCTTTGGATTTCACCTAGAAGGAAAAAAACGTTCGTCTGATGGCAATATCATAAAGATGGAGGCTAGGTTATATAACAGTACCTAGGTATGAATGCGGGCAACCATACCCTATGTATCATCTCAAGACGGCATATACAGTATGCGAAACTGCATAAAGAGCTATATTCATTTCTTTCATATCATATCATCTCGATGGCCGCTTATACGATGCCTTGCTTGCGCTTTGCACGTAGAGAGTAACTGGAGCTTAATGCAAGCGCGATAGCTCCAAGCTTACGGCATAACCAGCCATTGCTCTTCTTTTCCCTGAGTGAAAAGAAAATGCGAAGAAACAAAGCTATCTACCAATCAAACAAGACATCAAGCCAAATCACGCGGAAATTAGAACAAAGGCAGAGCTTCACGTACCAACTTTGCGCTGCTTGAACTGATGTTGGGACTGGTGGCAGTTGTCGCGCACCAGCCACGCTAAATCGGCGCAACAATCTCCTAGTGGCTGCGGCAGGGCTTGTCCTCAAACCAGCATCATCTCACTATGAACCAGCCCATCTGTAAGGATCTCCAGCGCCTGACCCGCCTCTATTCGCGATTACTGTCCTAAGCCAGCCTGCGAGGATTATACAAAGGCACCCGAGGAGGCTCATAGCCGTCGGCATTCAGCAGTCAATTCCTTTTCGTATGAATCTTCTTTCAGGTCAAGCGTCACCTGTACGTTTTTCCTGCTTCTCTGCTCTGACAAGGGAGGCCGCTCAGTTGAGAAACAAACGCTACTGGGACGAGGTGAGTTGATGGCCGGAGCTGCATTCACTTTGTGTTCATCCTCATACCACTTCTCGCACTGTTGCTGTCGCGTCGCATGTTGGAGATTTCGCATCCTGCGTTATTCGCTCGGTGCTTTCCCGGCGCGTCTCTGTATTATCCGCTATAGCGCGGGTGATACGACTGTTTTCCGTTTATTTCAGTATCTGTTCATGAACGCCACAGTTGAACTTCGTCCAGGCCATGATATGAGATGTACTGACACCAAATCAGGTTTACACGTCATCTCTAGTTCTGCTGAGGCGAAATTTTGTTGCCAGAGTATCAAAAGTTGGAAGGGCGGCCTCGGGCCCGGGGGACGTTCTCGTTCACCCCATCACCAAGTGCGATACACTCAGAATCTGCTATTTGGATGCATCATGGCGGGAAACGACGCCATGGAGTCTGAGGACCAGGTCATGGGAGACAGCGATGTGGCCATCACCAACGGCCATAGTGAAGGACTGCGCTTGGACAATGATGACACAGCGTCGGAAAGCGCATTTCATGAAGAGAGTGAACCGAGCGTCATAGAGGACACGATTGCCCTGCTGCGTGTGCGGCGCGGCTTGCTCCCCACGGGCTGCTGCTACGATGATCGAATGAAGCTTCATATGAATGCAGACTTTAGTCCGAATACACATCATCCAGAAGACCCCCGCCGCATCCATGAGATATTCAAGGCCTTCAAGAAAATGGGACTTGTCTACACGGGACCGGAATCGGAGCTGCCCAAGATCATGAAGGACTGTCCGACAAAATACATGTGGAGGATCCCCGCTCGACCAGCTACACGAGAAGAGATCTGCCTCGCGCATTCTCCAGAGCACTTGGCTTGGGTCGAGAGCCTCGACACGATCAGTACGGCTGAGCTTCGTGAATTGACCAGGCGATTCGACCAAGGCCGCGAGTCTCTATACGTGGGCAGCATGTCCTATCCTGCTGCCCTACTATCCGTGGGTGGTGCTATCGATACCTGTAAATGCGTTGTTACAGAACAAGTCAAGAATGCGTTTGCTGTTATCCGACCTCCTGGGCACCATGCTGAATTTGATCAACCCATGGGTTTCTGTTTCTTCAACAACGTCCCGGTGGCTATTAGAGTGTGCCAGCAAGATTATCCAGAACAGTGCCGCAAAGTTCTTGTTCTGGATTGGGACGTTCATCACGGAAACGGTACTCAAAATATCTTCTATCAAGATCCCAATGTTCTCTATATATCAATCCATGTATATCAGAATGGCATGTTTTACCCAGGCAAACCACCAAACCCCATGACACCTGATGGTGGTATAGAGCACTGCGGAACCGGCCCAGGATTGGGCAAGAACATCAACATCGGATGGCATGACCAAGGCATGGGAGATGGCGAATACATGGCTGCATTCCAAAAGATTGTGATGCCCATTGCAAAGGAGTTTAACCCAGACTTGGTAGTCATCTCGGCTGGATTCGATGCTGCCGAGGGAGATGAACTGGGAGGCTGCTTTGTGACACCTGCTTGCTATGCCCACATGACACATATGCTCATGTCACTTGCAGATGGCAAGGTCGCTGTTTGTCTAGAAGGCGGCTATAACTTGCAGGCAATTTCAAGTTCTGCGGTAGCCGTTGCGAGGACTTTGATGGGAGAGCCTCCGCCAAAACTGGCGCTTCCCAAGATCAACAAGGAGGCTGCTAGGACATTGGCCAAAGTGCAAGCATATCACGCCCCGTACTGGGAATGCATGCGTTCTGGAATCGTCGATGTCCCTGATGTGCAGTCACTCAATGCTAACAGGCTTCACGACGTCATCAGGAATGCGCAACGCCAGGTTATGCAGTCCAAGCATGGCATGATACCACTCTATATACAGCGAGAGTTGATCTCGAAATCGTTTGAGAATCAAGTTCTGGTAACGCCAAATCTACACAACGCACAAAAGATTATCGTCATCATACATGATCCGTAAGTTTGGCCCCTTCTACCCTTGCCATGGGATATGTCAACTAATCACAAGTACAGACCCCAATTATTAGCACAGCTAGATGTGATAGACACCACAGTGGATGCTCATAATTCATGGGTGGTTAGTAGCGCATCATCAACGTGCTTTTACATAGCATAGGAGAGACATCGACTAACTGGCTGCTAGGTTGACGGAGTTATGGAGTATATTGACTGGGCCGTTTCTGAGAATTTCGGAGTCATGGATATCAATGTCCCAGCATATGTTACACATGAAGAGGTATAC